GAAGGCATTAGGGTAAATACTGATGTGACTTGGTGTTCAGCTAGGCAAGTAGTAAGAAATTTGGAGAGATCAGATGAAGGTAACAAAGGAAATGGAAATATAAGGAAATGAAACTAACCTTTGCCCAAATGGCTAGAAAAAAAATCAATTGGAAAGTAGATAGGAAAATCATAAACTGCAGTGAGCCGATCAATAAATTCATGAAATCAGCAAGGAATTGATAAAATTCCAAAACTGGTGCAGAACACAATAGATACACACATCCTTAATAATTTGAGGACAAAGAGAAAGAAATAGCATCAAGAACGGAAAAGATCACCGAAAGGAAACGAATTAAAGAGAAAATTGGTAAGTATGAGAAGGCCAAGAATCAGCCCCTAAGAGTGATGATACTGAATGGGAGGGGCATGGGGGGATGAAATGCTCAAATACAGAAAACTACAAAATGATGTGGCATGGAAACTGTGGTCACGAAGAAGGAACGTTTCAAGGGAGAACAGAGAACGATAAAATGGAACCTGGAGAAAGGTGATAGGAAGCCAGTGGAACAGAACATAAAAGCCAATTACATAAACCATTGGAGAGCACAAAAAGAAAAAAAATTTGTGAATACTTTGAATACAAACAAATGGCTTAAGTTCACATATACTAAAATTTATATAATATAGTAGAAATTAATATATATTGTCTTGGTGGTGGAAATAAAAGTAGGAGAGAACTCTAAATTAGATGATATTTCTGAGAGCCTATTTAACTTAGAAATGATACAGAAAAGGTAGACACATTGCAGTGCCGGTGGAGGAACACAAGAATTAATTACGCCTACAAGACACACAGGTGTTAACACTGGAAATTCTAAACTAGACAGAAAACTTAAAAATCATGAATGCCTACAGCCAATTACAAGTGAAGTAATACTTGGTCAATAAAGGAGGTAGATAACAAACAAGAGGAAACCATCACAAGACATAATAAATCAAGCAGATCAGAATACAGCGAGCTTGTGGTACCGAGCGACTTTAAGATATAAAATCATAACGCTGGAAGGTTCACAAGACAATAACAAAAGACATGTGGAGCAACAAACTAGCAAAATTCTCTGGAGACTTAAGCATCAATAAACAAAGCAGGCCTCAAGAGTAAGGAAGGAGAAGTCTCTTCGTTCCTAGACATCGTACGGAATTCACCAGGAAAGAAGACCAAATCTTTTGACCATCAGTACCCATCTCCTCACATCAGACATAGGCATATACAAATCACAGCTTTGTGATTTGCAGACAATTCTAAGATCAGCATGAAAATGACCTTAGTACAATACATTATAAACTACAAATATATAAAATCTTATAAGTACTATGCAACAGAAAATAACATGATTTTTAGCAGTGAAAAATTTCACATACTGTACAGTACTTAGACATGGACAAAAATTAAATTAAAATGTAATAAAGGATACAAATGCAATCAGATCTCCTGATAATAGGAAAATAACATGTAAAGGATCTTGTATTGTAACAACATTACTGGACACTAACAATTAGTGAACATAATCCAGCAGCCATAGGAATTCCACCACACTGCTCCTAATCCATAAATCGTAAGGGTTTTACACTTGGAGAACTGCTTGGAACTCTCATTCCCCTTTCAATGAAGAAGATTTATGATACTTAGGGAATAATGAGACAATATACATATGCATACACACAGTGAAGTACCAAAATTAATGGGAAAATCTCAAAGCAATTAAAACATACTCAATGGCAATGAGCAAAAGAGATGCCACATAACATAAACATGGAAAACATTGAAACATCAGGTTTCAAATAAAAGCAACAAAATAACTAACTGTAACAAAAGATATTGAAGGAAATGCAGAATAGTCCCAGTAAACCAGAAATGCTATAGGCACAATCAGATAATACAATACGAACACCAGAGAACCACAGCTCTTCTATCTCCTCGCATCAAATACTGGTATAAGAGGCACTACTGTGACGCAAGTAGAGGTTTTTCTAAGACAATTAGGAAAATTCCTGGAAGTAAGTTCCAGATCAGCCAGGTTGTAATGAATATGTGAGCCTATGGCAAGCTAGAGCCAGCCTAGGTGAGAACAACACGTATTGTAACTGGCCACACAAACTAAAGGCAAATCAAGAAACGTGCAGTCTGCCCATCCCCCCCTCTCTTGTTTTATTTCTGTCATCTTAATATCAAACACTAAATCATTAAGTTTGTCAAACAGGATTTTCCTTTGCTAAATTCGCACTGATGGTTGGAGACGAATTTTGGCTGTTGTAAATGTTCTATTAGTTTACTTGTGATTAATTTTTCTAGTAACTTGCACGGGACATTGGTGTGTAGTTTACAAGTTCTTGTCTTCTCCTCCCCCCTTTTTTTAATATTGGCACCACACTCAGCATTTTCTAACAATCTTAAAGTTATCCTTTTTCTAGAGGAATTAAAAAATACAGTGGAACCCCCTCCATTATCCGGATCCCCATTTTCTGTATTCTTGGATTATTAGAAAAGAGGTTTCCTGCTCTCCAACCATATTAACTGAAACTTGTCCAGCAAATAGGAGTTAATCCCCAATACCAATGGAGTCTCTGTAGCTGAAAAACTGCATGGTTCAGTAGCTAAAAATATTTATACCAAGTACAGTATCACAAAAATTTCATGTGTTTCTGGCATATACCATGGTACATTCTGATTAAAATACTATACCATTCAATGTATTTTTAATCCAAATTTGAAAAAAATCTCTTGTAATCTTTTATTAGCTTTGCGGGATTCTCATTTAATCGGACACCCTGGGGGTATCAAATGATCTAGTTAATCAAAGGTGCACTGTACAGCAAGGGAGACTACATGGTGCTTCCTCTAGTATTCATAGTGATATCTTGTCTAATACAACAGCTTTTGTCACATCAAGTTCATGTAATTGTTTCTTTACTTTTTCTGATGTCAATTACTATTTCGATGAGTCTTTCCTGTGGTGGTGTTCATTATCTTAGGGATCTAAGCTCTAGTGGAATATCAAGTACCACGTTAAAGACATCCTGGACACTTTCATTAAGCTCTTCCCATACTTCCTTATCATTCTCTGTGGTTGGCTTTTCATTTCGAGCCCGAAGCAACTATTGTTCACCAGCCAACGAGCTACCTTTAAAAAGCAGGATTCAGGGGCTGGGTAATGCAGACGGCATGTTGGCTTTAAAACCATCATCACAAAAAATTATAGATACAAATATTAATAAATGGCTAAGTGTGTTTATTAAGGCATCCAGACCAGAAGAGAAAGATCCATTCTAAAATTGTGTAAATACACAATTATTAAAGAATAAAGAATAGAATACTGCCTGGTAAAGAATACAGAGGCAGTAAAAAACAGGAAAAAGAATACAGAGGCAGTGAAAACCAGGTCAAGGATGCACAGGTAGTGAAAACAGTCAAGAATACACAGGTACAGTAGTGAAGCAAGGTCAAGAATACACAGGTACAGTAGTGATAGCAAGGTCAAGAATACACAGGTACAGTAGTGATAGCAAGGTCAAGAATACACAGGTACAGTAGTAAGAGCAAGGTCAAGAATACACAGGTACAGTAGTAAGAGCAAGGTCAAGAATACACAGGTACAGTAGTAAGAGCAAGGTCAAGAATACACAGGTACAGTAGTGAAGCAAGGTCAAGAATACACAGGTAGAGTAGTGATAGCAAGGTCAAGAATACACAGGTACAGTAGTGAAGCAAGGTCAAGAATACACAGGTACAGTAGTAAGAGCAAGGTCAAGAATACACAGGTACAGTAGTGAAGCAAGGTCAAGAATACACAGGTACAGTAGTAAGAGCAAGGTCAAGAATACACAGGTACAGTAGTGAAGCAAAGTCAAGAATACACAGGTAGAGTAGTGATAGCAAGGTCAAGAATACACAGGTACAGTAGTGAAGCAAGGTCAAGAATACACAGGTACAGTAGTAAGAGCAAGGTCAAGAATACACAGGTACAGTAGTAAGAGCAAGGTCAAGAATACACAGGTACAGTAGTAAGAGCAAGGTCAAGAATACACAGGTAGAGTAGTGATAGCAAGGTCAAGAATACACAGGTACAGTAGTAAGAGCAAGGTCAAGAATACACAGGTACAGTAGTGAAGCAAGGTCAAGAATACACAGGTACAGTAGTAAAAGCAAGGTCAAGAATACACAGGTACAGTAGTGATAGCAAGAAGTGTAACATTCTAAAACTGAGACGATAACTGAATCTCTTATTATATGCATTTTAATTGCCTTAAATATATAACAAAGAAATATAATTATGTAACACAGTAGCAATCAGCTTATAGGATAGAAGCAGGACAAGAAATGTATGAATGAAGTAAATGCAAATCAAACATATTTGAGGTATGAAAAAGTGACAATGCTTCAGTCCATCCTGTACCAAACATCGTCAAGACCGTTTTAACCTGCTAATCACTCAGGACAGACCGAGAGTTCATCACTGTCCCGTCTCTCCAATGTGTAAATTTTGTATTTATTTGTTCCAGTCAAAATATTGTGACATTCTTCACTGTGAAGTTAAACTACCTATCCTGTTAAGTGATACTATATCAAGTACACTTATTCTTATACACTAGCTAAGCTTTAATTTACTGAAATAAAATATATTTACCCCAATGACTGATCAAATGTAGAATATGCATTAAATAAAAGGAAACTAATTCGGCACTTCAGGTTGAAATACTTCAGAATAGCCCTTAAAAACCACATGCATTAACCTCAACACATGATGCCTAACAAGGTGGATTCTTCAAGCAACATTGTAAATGCTCCAATAATTTTGATTAATATACCAAGAGGATGTGGGAACCAATAAAGGTGTAGTGTGGACCTCACTTGACAAAGTAACTTAAAATGTGTGCAGTGAACAATGATGATGAAGCGCTCTGCCGGGGCGGCTGCTGCTCTTCACTCCAATTCATTGTAAAGTTGAGACAATGACTCACTTTGAGCAAGTTGAGGCTACGCATGAGGGAGGTGAGGGGCCGCTCTGTGTTTGATCCACCCCATCTCTAGGGGAAATGATGATATAATACATCAATTGATTTTTAGTTAATATTTAAAATATATCTTATATGAGTGTGATCAGAATATTGTAATTACTTAAGGCTGCTATACATCCTAAAAAATAATCTTGTAAATGGCCCCTTAAGAATGACAGAAATTTAATATTTTACGTAGCGCACAACATTGGTTCTACATGCTCGAGATGCAGTCCACGTGCGAACAACCCTTCATAACAAATGACAGCAAGAAATGGACTTGTTGCCTTCTTAATGGCTAGGTTATTTATTCACCTTCCTCCAATGCCTTTATTAATTAATCTTTATCCAATGTGCTATCCACTTTATCCACCTTCTCTAACACTGCAACAAAGCCAAATCTAAATTGTTTAACATTAGCTTCGTACATATAGCGTACAACTGACGCCCTGGGTACTTACAGTACTCCTAATGCAGACAAAATTTACAAGGGAATCCAGTACAATCTATTAACCAAAGCCAAAAACTATCCACATTCTAAGCAACTTTGTAAGAACACTATTGGGATATTGACTGAAAATAAACATAGTCCACAAAATTCTACATTTAATGTCTTAAAAAACTTGGCATTGGTAGGCAAGAAAAACATTTGCAGAAAATTGGAGTAAAAAAAAAAAAAAAAAAAAAGTCTTGGCCTAAAGTTTCAATTGAAAATAGCCAACAGATAATCTTAGGCAGTATGTGAATTTGGAAATACATATGTATTATGTATATGTAATGTTCTATCCTGGAAGTTAAAAATAAAGTGATATGCTCGTTGTATTCAAACATTCATGTACATTTGATCAGGTTTATAACTATCCGCAATTTTAAACAACCTCATGCTTGAGATCATTCTAGCTATCCAACGCCTTATTGGTAAAGAGATTTCTCTTAAGTGCTTCTACATCTTTTCTTCCATGGCTTAGTCATGACTTTCAATACTGCTTGTTCCTGTTTTAAAAATGCTTCCCTGTCTGATTGCTTGTATCCTTTTAAAATCCTGAATGTGGTTAACATATCCCCCACTATTTCTTGGTCATCTTCCAAATTTACCATATCCAGATCCTTTAATGTCCATCAGAGCTTATTATATAAGCTACTTGATAACAGTTCCTGATAGACCTAAACGTCGTCATTCCTTTTATCTTCAGACATGTGGGTTGGGCGTCTAATTTTCAGCCATGTTATTGTAACTTACTGTCTGCACAGTTTAATATAATATATCTTAGGTCTCACACACATTTAATTACAGTACTGGTATTTAAACATTCTCTATTTTTTTTTTTTTTTTGTTTTAGCTGTTGGCACTATACCACATTTTTTAACTCCAGTTTAAGGGTGACATTTATTGTACATAAACGTTTACCACATGGGTTGCCTTCCTGGGTAATATTTTGAAAATAATCCAGAGTGCATAAGTAAGCTTCTCTTCAAGGTCCAGACTGACATCTCAACTAGTCCTATTGCTTAGCTTTTATCAGTACAGTATCTAACAGTTTTCTCACTTTTTATCTGCACATTTCTTTATTAAAATTCTTTTGACTGATGTTGGTCTAAATTGGAAACGTTGAATTCCTCTAGAACACATGCTGAAAATTTGAGTTTAATGTCGTTTACATTTCATCACCTGATTCTAGGATTTTGTTTATGAATCTTTTATCTGTGCATTCTACTGCACATCTATAAAATTTTGTTTACCTTTGACAAACTTGAATTGTAGGACGGGTTCCACTCTGATCTTATCTACTGCTGTAGTGTATTCCTTTTCCAACATCTCTTTCCCCCTCTCTCTTCTTACACAGGTGTACGGTACTAATTGTAGTTTGCTTTAATGTTTGGTAGGTTCATGTATTTAGGCATTTTCAATACTGACTCCACGATTTTTTCTTTTCTCTCCAATGCTTTTCAGTATCTAATGCCAAACCAATCATTAATTTATCTGTTTTCTCATACACCTTAGTTCTATGTTCCATTCTAAAATACATTAATACATGGAAGACTCTTAACATCCAGTCCTAAGTATGCACAATAAAAAAAACTTAGTGAAACAAAAGATATGGTAGGAAATGCAGAACAGACTCACTAACGTGAGAAGTATCATTCCACTATTCTAATAGAACCTCTTACATAGAACTTTTTTTTTAAATTGTAACAAGAATTAAATAAATTAGAGTAGAAATATTAATCAAATAATAAGTTGTATAACAAAAAATTAAGGTATTAATAAATAAATGTCAACTGAATAAACCAAAAATTATTAACACAGCAACTCGACCGATAAGTCAATTATTGTCTCAACTTACTACCTAATTGTTTCCTTAAGCCATTATAATTGAAGCTTTACATAAAACTGTCACATCCTAAGATCTTACAACCTGTACTATCAGTGTTGTCAGCACCCACATTATTAACACTATCGCGGCCCCGGCGTGCGCACCCCAGCCCACCCTAAAGTGGGCTGAGCGTTTCCTGTGAGTGCGCGCCCACACTAAAATGTGTATACTCTTTTATATTTTCTCACCTCAATTTTCGTGGTAAGTCATTCATTTTGGTATCAAATTGTTCGCAATAGAATTCTCTAAAGGGATACAGTATATGCATATGAGGTAAAAAAAAAAATTCGGGGTGCCACCCAGAGCAAACCCGAAAATCGGCCAAGCATTACCCGTGAGTGCACAGCTCCACTAAAATGTACATACTCTTTTCAGTTTTCTCATCAATTTTCCTGTTACATCATTCATTTTGGTACCAAATTGTTCACAATAGAATTCTCTAATGGGATATATATGCATATAAGATTAAAAAGCCCGGCATGCCACCCGCATGAAACCCTAAAATCGGCAAAGAGTTAACCGGGAGCGAGCACCCATCTGCACACCAACACTAAAATGTATATTCAGTGTTCAGTTTTCTCACCTCAATTTTCATGCTAGGTCGTTCATTCTGGTATCAAATTGTTCATAATCTAAAGGTACTCATTTTAAAACTAGTCACATAATGATTAGGAAAAAATTGAATTATAACAAATATTTTAATTTTAGACGCAAAATGCATCCCCACTGGACATCAGTCGAGTTATTTATGGACGCAATATCCGCCTTCGCCGGACGAAAGTGTTAAATTAATACTCCTGCTGGAGACCTGCTCAATACCCATGACAATGTTAACATTGTCCCCAGACTCTAAGCAACACATTATTAATACCATTAATAAGTAATAATAATGTATTCTCACAGACATAACAACATGGGATAAACACCCAAACTTATGCAAGTGTGTAATAAATGTATGAATTACTTATGTAAATAATACATACAAATAATGGATTTTAAGTAAAGAAATATATAAAATACAAATCACATGTGTATTTTATGAAGTAAAAAGTATTTCGTTGTAGTAATTTTATAAGTAAAATTACATCTCAACAATATATAACAGTATACAGTACAGTATACTAACCATATACTCGGACCTTGATAAAGCACTCAGGAGTATGTGAAAGGATTGGTGTAAATCTTTACATGAAATACTCAACTATGTAAGTGTGGGTTTTTATCCAACAGCATTAATCATAAAACTACTGTAGTATACAGATTTGATTTATCTGTGTTTTATGTATACGTTATTTAGTGATCACTTCATAAACCACTTAACCTCACCTAGCAAGACACTTTAGGTACAAAATAGATTAGCTAAGGCCTACAAGTAGTTATGTACTGAAAGTAGAAAGTATTATTATGAAATATTCAAAATATGGTGACCCAGGACTAGGAGCCATACCTGAAGTTGTTGGAATTCTTGATTTATGTTGGATAGGCTGAAGGTGGCCGAGTCTGATGCACGTCGCACCGTGTTTCCTGGAGAGTACCGATCACAGGTGAGATAAATGGACTCCTTATAGTTCTCTCTTCCTGTAAAAGTTCATAATTAGTTGAAAATTTCACGGTAATGAAAATGCTACTGCTTATTTATTTTAGACATTAGGTGAAAGGTATTCTTAATCAAAAATTTATTTATAAATATACATACTGTACCATAATTATTAATTTAAATATAACATTTAAATTTTTTGTCCAATACAAATGACATTAATATATATCTCAACTTTAACATTTAAAACAACATAATTTTGAATTTTTAATTATTTATAAAAAATATAGTTTATTTGAAAACAGTGGAGGATATTTACACGATGAGCGATCATAGCACCATCATATTACAGTGTTATTTTCTAGTAAGATTACCATCTCGAGGAAGGGAAGGGAATGAGGGCACTCTTCTCAAGTGTTAATCCATTTGACTAATGCATGGCTACACAACTTCACTCACTGCTCATGATGTGCACACAATATATACATAATTATACACACACACTTTATGAACTTGTTACTATCTTACTGAGATATTTTAACTAATTTGTTATTATTTTTATTATTGCTATTTTGAACTAGTTAAGGTGTGACTGTATGGCAAATGATTCTGTGGTTATGAGGTCAATAGATGGTGGGAAGCTTCACTAATGCATAATAGCAGAGGACACCATCACTGCACTTACACAGGACTCCTACTGCCTTGTTACCGATGCATCAGCCTGAAGCATCCTGTTACTATGTTGCTACATTATATTTTAACTTTTAAGCTCTCACTAGTTGCTACATTATATTTTGACTTATTAGAGAATATGCACATTGCTGTAATCACTACATAGGGAAGAATTCCTGAGACCTGGAACTTCAAGAACAAGAGGTCATAGATTTAAACTAACTAAACAAAGCTGCCAAAAGGAATATAAGAATATTCACTTTCGCAAACAAAATGGTAGATGGTTGGAACTAGTTAAGTGAGAAGGTGGTGGAGGTCAAAACAGTCAGTAATTTCTAAGAGTTATATGGCAAAGAGTGCAGGGAAGACGGGACACCACGAGTATAGCTCGCATCCTATAACTACATGGGTCAGTTACTTTTCTGACTGTCCTTTAATACTTTATCTTTTACATTGGCAGTCTATAAATGACACTCAAAGTTTAAGGGTCAGAGACAGTCTACAATGAGTCAAAGAAAATGAAACATAGTAACAACAATATGCATTTTCTCAAACTACAATGCAGTGAATTAACTAGAGGGCATAAGTCAGTATTGAGGCGCTGTGACTCGAAGTCAGGCAATAAAGCAGCAGGAGTCCTATTAGGTAGAATGATTGTGAAGGCAACATGTAATTGAGAGAGAAATACAGTACTGTATTCCATATAAATATAGAGTACCATATATTAATGAAGAACATTTTGTAAAGAAATATGTTATATTGCATGGTCAATAAAAAAAATGTAAAAATAATTGCACAATTGTAATTTAAGCCATTAATGCATAACACCTAAAATGCTTTGAAATATATTGTATCTCCATCCATCAATGTGCACTTCCATTATCGTTTGACTTCACGATAGTGAAATTTACCACGATACACTCTGCTTGCTTAAAGATGCAACTTTAAATTGTGCACTTTGAGAAATCATATAATAAAGTTTATAGATAAAGAAGCTGCAGATTTGTATGTAGGAGTGTAAGCAGAGAGCGAATGGTAAATGTGACTGATGTTAAATTAATGAAAGTGTATGGCAGGGTTATATGCCATCCCATTTGTTGTTTAATGTACACAACCAAATCACAATAATGTGATCTACTGTATCAGTAAGAAATTCTTCAGAGCAGGATGTCAGGATCAATCCCGCTGTCCTGCTCCAAAGGTTTCCTCGTTGTTTAATGTATGTACGGATAGAGCTATCATGGTCTTGCCAAGACTTCTCTGAGAAGGTGTGCAATAGCAGCAAGAAAACAAAGTACAAAAAGAAAAAGATAGATAAAAATACTCAAATCAAAATATGACTGCTTTCTGTGTGTGGTGTAAAAGTAGAAATACAAGCAGCATCAATAAATACTGAATACGTGAAACTAAAAATTTAAAATAAATATGCATTGTTGCCACACTAATGCTTCCTCAGGTGACTGGGTCCAGCAAATCCAACAAACAATCCAATCTAGTTGCTAGATGTTTCTGTGTAAGAAAATGCTAAATTTCACTTTTTAAAATCTTAAAATACCTTTTTTATAAACAATTATGAAAAGTAAAACCAATTAGTTCTAAAATTTGTTTTAAAATGTAAGAACATGTTCAAATAATTATATCAACATGCAAAGCTAGTTGGATGAGGTCTGACCTTGTGCTCTGGCAACCTATCCTCTCTGGCAGAGTCCCATGGTGGCTTCCTGAAGCCATCTTGCTGACATTACTCCTTACTACTAGTTACATCAGCACCAACAGTTTTGCTTGGCCTACCAGGGACAAAGCCAGAACCTGGTCCCCTTCTCACATTGGTACAGAGAGCAGGTGACAATCTGCCAACCCACTGAGAAGCATGCAGAAACTCAGCAAAGGTTTACAGACAACTGCAAGGTTCACATGAACTGAAACTTTTAAGCCGCAAAAAAACCTCAAACAATTCAGACAAAATAACCGATTCACTAGAAACTTTAATGAACGCATTACTACTGATAGCCGCCACTAGGCAGCCTGGAGCTCCAGCCCCCGCCACCAGATTCCCCTCAAGTAAATTCTGTTGCTGATATGGTGAATCAATTGTCTTGTTTAAATCATTTGGGCGAGTTATTCGGCCATGTTGAGGCTTTGGTTCCTGTGAACCTTGCAGCTTTCTGTTTGGGTTAACCCTCCAGTTGTCTGTAAAGCTTCAATAACTTTCTAGATGCTCTCCCAGTGAGGTGGTAGATTGTCACTCATATTTTGTGCCTCTGCAGAGGGGTGCCCTGGCTCTAATCTGGTCCCCAGTTGACAAAACAGAGCGTCCATGACTGACGTGACCTAGAAGTAAGGAGCAATTTCAGCAAGATAGTTTCAGGAAGCCCTCAGGGCATAATCCAGAAACTGACTTCTCATTATATTCAATGCTGGCTTGTGTGTGTATTAAGGTGTCAAACATTTAATTTCTTGCATGTATTTACCACTTGTCATATAAAAGCATTGTTGATCTGACCAGAGACAACACAAAACTCGTGCACAACCGAGAAGTTGCTCTCTGCTCTTGTAAACTGGTAACCTCTTATTGTTTTTATTTGAGTACTAGTCATTCAATTTAATGTGATTATAAATTTTATTTCATTCAGTAGTTATATATTGTATTTATCACTTACCCTTTAAGGAAAAATGTTTAGGGGCATATAATAGTTAATCAATTAATAAAAATAAAATGAAAAGATGAACAACTAAAAAGAAGAGAATGTAGAAAACGAAGTGATAATGAAATCACAAGAATGTGAGGCATTTACAGGAATATATTTAAGCCATATAATGAGTTTGTTCCCATCGTACAACCTCAATATTTTCTCATAGAAAATGATGTTAATGACAAGGCATGTGTGGCCCAAAGCAGCCAAGCTTTGCTAGTCTAGTTTTCCTTTAATGCAGTGACATAAATGCATGGCAAAGGCAATAACTGATAATGCTCTATAAGGAATGCAGCACATCGGTACAGTATCAAGACAACACCGACACCATTGTACTACGTTTGCTATGTGATGCAGATGTGTGGACAGAGGGGGTCGGCAATGAATACAAAAGTTGGCAGGGAGTATGTAGCCATAGAAAGTGTGCCTAAAATGTATGGATGGAGAAGAGCACTTATTTTAATACAAAAATGCATTAAAATATTGATAACAGTTAATAAAAGCTTTTAAATGGTTCCCCATACAGCATGGTATATTTCATGCCTGGGTGACCTGACAGCAATTTACGAGGATGGTATTACAAGATCGTGCCTTATTACATCAATTATCATCCTGTCTTATTATGCTAATCATGACCACGTCTTACTGTGCTAATCATGACCATGACTGACTTTATCACACAGTCTCTCATTAGTTTCTTTAGTACTACGGGAGTGACACTGGACATTCAGAAAGATATTACACTAATATGCAAATGCTTATGATCCCTCAACATTCAAGGGTGCAGATTATTAGCAAACAACAAGTACATTCAGGACAAACTCAACCATGCATGCAGAGACCATGCAGAGTGCATTTATAATGTGTATGCTTGCACAAGCAAACAAACTTTCTGCAAAATAAGAATAAAACAACTAAATTATGCATCAAATTTATCAGTTATAAAAAGTAGAAAAAACAATCTTAAGGTTAGAATAAATGAATAACCAAGAGTTCTAAGGACCAAATGCTAGTCTGCATAAGAAACCCCAAATACAGAAATATTATTCTATTGTTACTTATAATACTATGGTAAGTAAATCCCCATATTCCATAAGATCTAATTTGTAAGGCTTCCATTCAAGTACTGTATTTATTAAGTACACTGTATAGCATACAACACTAGTATGATCCAGAGTGCTGCAATAATTACTTTCAAGGATAAAATATCTGCTCCATTGTAACCACTGAACTGAGATGAACTTAAGTGTTATTAAATGAAGGGAGAGAGGGAGGTAGAGAATGAGAGGAGAGAGGGAGAATTAGAGAGAATAAGAGAGAGGGAGAATGAGAGGAGAGAGGGGGGAATGAGAGGAGAGATGGAGAATGAGAGGAGAGAGGGGGAATGAGAGGAGAGATGGAGAATGAGAGGAGAGAGGGGGAATGAGAGAAGAGAGGGAGAATGAGAGAATAAGATCAAATGAGAGAGAATGAGGGGGGGGGGGCTGAAAGAGATTTGGGAAAGTTGAGAGTGAGAGACGAGCTGAACAAAGCTGAGATGAGGGAGAATATATATATAAAAGATAAGAGAAAACTAAAGAAAGGAGACAGAAATAGGGAGATAAACAGTGCAAGTCTACACATTTACCCGACTTAAAATCTCCACATAGCACTCTGAATAACATGTCATTATCTCATATTTATAGTGCCAACCTGTTGAAAGTCAATTTATTTATATAAAGGCATTCATTTCATTTACATAATTTACTGTCACTCAACAAAATAATTGCTTGTATTCAATTAAAAATCTGCAAGTATTTTCTTCTCAGTCCTCTATAAACAAAAACCTACCATCACCACCACCACCACCGTCCCCATCACCACCACCACCATCTGAAACACCACATTCGCCTTGTCCAACCACCAAAACATGGCTAAGGCCCATCATAATTACCCACTGTGGTGCAATCGGTCGCTTCTGTTGGAGCCGAAACGACCCAGTTATTTTCCAGCACTGTGGGAAGGCCAGTCTTTCTCTTTCGGTCTCTGTGTTTTGGCCACGGATTGTTGTTGTTGATGATGATGATGTTGTTGTTATGTGGTGGAATACCTGAGATTATCCCTGGGGTCGTGGAGGGACACTGGTGGGGAGAGGATGTGCAGGAGGAAGACGAAGAACAGGATTGGGACACAAAGGATGAGGATGATGAAGTGGAGGAGGAGGACGAGGAGGATGAAGAGGATGAGGAGGATATATTAAGAGGCGGAGAACAACAGCTGTACCCAATATAGGGATGGTTTGATAGGTTATGGGGAGAAGCAGAGGGTGGTAGTCTTTTAGAGGACTGAGGATGGGGAATGCCTGACACGATGCCTGGTTTGATGGCATAATTTGAACTTGAAGATGGAGGAATGCCGGTAGTAATGCCTGGGGCCAATGGAGTTCCCGTAAGCAGGGCGTTGTTATATAGATTTTGTAGATGGGACGAAATATAGTCCCGTTTCATTCGTTCTTCGGCTTCCAGTCTTAATTCTGGATTGATTACTATTAGTCAGCCACACATGATGTTTATATGCAGGTGCCATTAATTAAATTGATGTCAAAATACAGTAATGACACCAACAATAAAAAAAAATTTAAGAAAATATTATTTACACCAATAATTTATTCAGATCCATTGTGAAATTTTTTTGTTCCAAGTGTTACAACAATGGGAATACAAACAGTTCCCATAGAAGCAAAACACAGTATGAGCAATTATCAAGCAAGCAAAGTTAAACAAAATAATGGGGCAAGTCAGCAAATAATAAATGGCATCACGCAGGCATCAGAGGCAGGCAGGGGTGAGGATTAAGGAAGGTGAGAGAGAGAGAGAGAGAGAACAAACAAAATGAGTCAAACTTGAAATAAAGAGAAACAATTATAAACAAAAAAAGTGTCAAGTAGGTAGTGATATCAAAATAAGATTCAGACCAAAGTATCATGCACCTTTGACTACCAGCAATCTACACTCTGACACATAGCAGCATGCTGGTCATTGAAACAGAGCTACTACAAATAAAAATGAAGTGCATCACTGACTATGACATGGAATTAGGATTAAAAACTTGGACAGATATGCAAAGTGAAATAAACTGATTTATGACACTAATGTGGTCCATATGTAAAAGATACCACAACATATTACATACAACTCAGGACACTTACTAACTGAAAGCAAACTCAAAAAATGTGAAAAGACCAATTTTTTTTAGTTGTAAAAAATGGTTAATTCATTCCAACATAATCTTTGAACTATTTTAAGTGCCAAAAGGAATTTGTTAAAAAAAAAAAAAATTGTTATCCAGAGACGACACAAAGGAAAATAACAGAGGGCAGCTGTTAGTGCATCCCTGCTGATCATGTAATTCTTGTATGCCTTACCAGGTGGTCTTTCTGTAACCATTGGTAACCCAGTTTTTCTTGCTCTGTTAGGAGGCATTTTTCTAGCTTCTTGGACATCCTTGGGCGTGACCTGAGGTAATGTTGCTCTCTGGCTGCTTCCTCTGCCAGTCATATACCTGTTGATGATAAATGTTCATCACACACCGTAATCTTCACTATATTTCCCACTTCCATGGAGTGGGGAGGTCACCACACTCCAGCAAATCATCCACACGAGCATCTCTCCTACTTAACATCTCTCCTACTCTCCTACTTCACTAGGTGTGAAGTATTTTCCTCCTAAGATGTCATGGGACAAAATATTGAACATTCATTAACGAACCCTTCAAACAACCATCTCCCACCGAGGCTTGTGCACACTTCCACAACACTCATGCAAGCTGATGGAAAAGGCCATGAGAAAGAGGCTACAATACTATCTGGATAAAAGGGCCTTTAAAACACACCATCACTATACCTTGAGGTTACCTTGAGGTGAAACTGGGGCTTAGCGTTCCCGCGGCCCAGTCGTCGACCAGGTATCCTGGTTGCTGGACTGATCAACCAGGCTGTTGGATGCGGCTGCTTGCAGCCTGACGTATAAGTCACAGCCTGGTTGACCTATGGGTTCAGGAATAACAAGTATTCTGATTTATATATGCCTTAACCATTGAACTATGCAGAGCGCCACATAACGATCGTAGATATATATCGTAGGACTGAAAACTGGCACGTGGTGACTTGGGTACGAGATGGATGGCCGAGGCCCCAAGTGATCGTCCGCCATTTTTTTTTTTTAAATGCCAGCATGTCCCACAGCTGTGGGAAGTTTCAGTTTCAAAGTAGCAATTATGTCTGATGCATCATCAATGAGCTCCTGGTCTACGGTCAGCCGTGGTGTTGAAAAACAACCCTCAGATGCCGAAATACAGGACATATTGTTTGAAGATGAACATATTAGTAACAATGATGACTATAGTCCTGATAAGTGTAAAGATGTGTAAAGATTACCTTGCTGTACACAAGCTTGTTATATACGAAGCACAGGAACACGTGAAACGGGTAAACGTTCCTGCGTTGTTTGCAAGAACATGCAACGTAAGGAACAGAAGTGAAGATCTTTCTGCACTTGGTGCATTGAGTGCAAAGGTCCCTTGTGCTACGATGACTGGTTCAGTGACTATCACGCACTCTCACCAGCCCATCCTCCAAACAAAGACCCAAAAGTGATTCCATGCACCGGCCAAACCCCCTGTTTATTAATGAAAAATGGTTTACACACGACTCGCAACTGATTTTGTTTGAAGACTTCCAGAATAAGTGCTTCACTGACGAATTTTGTTCGAACCACAACACTATAAATGCTTCACCCACATACTACAAATAATTGCCAACAGAACCTAAACACCTGACCTATCCTAACCTAACCTATGCCTATATATGCACAATATGCTAATATATTATAATATTAATTTATATTTGAGAAAATTCCTGTTTTGAATGAACAGCACGTAAAAATTTATGAAAGCGTCTGTGGGGTCGACCGATGGATGGAATGGATTTGAGTCGAGGACAGGTTGCTCGCACAGTTCTAAGTGTTCATAGTGTTTTATGTAGTCTGTGATAGTGTACAGTTTGTAAATAAGTTGTAAATTAAAGTATTTGAACTTGTAATATAGAAAATATGAACAATGTTTGTGGACATATTTGTGATACATTTAACAATTTATTTGAACAGCAATCAATCTTGCCGCAGGATATGTAACTTACTTTTCAACATCGATGGGGTCAATTTCATCATCTCTGTGACCCAGAAGGTCATCATCCTGTTGAGGCAGTGGCTGGGAGTGGCCCCCTAGACAGCTGCCACCAAGACCCAGCTGAAAAATAATCAGGTTTATATAATGAAATATGCCTGAATTAGTGTAGTAAAAATATGTATGTTATTCACTTTAAGCATACAGATGTATGTATACATTTGCATGCAGCATATATTAATCTAGTAATTTGTGTATTATCCACAATTATACTATACAATATATTATGTATTCAGTATAGTATGTTGTATATATAGTACAGTATGTTATACATACTGTACTGTATATTATACATATGGTACAGTATATTATACATACAGTATAGTATGTTATACATATAGTATGGTATATTACACGTACATTAAATATTACAATAGTAGAGGTAATAATAATTCAGTGTGTCGAGGAACAGGTAGCCAGAATGTATTCATACACGGTACAATTATACCAAGGTCCTCCCCCCTCATCCCAGACCAAATTACTGACCCCACCCTGGATGCAACCCCACAACAAGCTGACTAACTCCTGAGTACCTACGCACTACCAGGTGAACAGAGGCATTAGGCGAAAGAAAAAATGTTCCCAATCATTCCCGTCCCTCCAGGATTCGAACCTGGAATGCTTGATTGTGCGTCGAGAAGGAACTCAACTGTACTACTGGGACCCTTAATGTGTAAAATGTATATGGGTATTCTTCTGAACCAGGAATATGTATTATGTAGAATTCATTTTGTAGCCCTTAGTTGCATTTCTTTGGAGTTTGCCTTATTGCATACTTTCTCTCTCTGAACAAATGTTGTAAAAGGTTTAGTTCCCAGTACAAGCTCTGTAAAATCATTTCTAAAATATAAATACATTACAGTACTTTGAAAAATAGCAAAAATGAGAAAAAATGTAATGATAGAAATTACTGCACTTAAACGTGACGAGAAACATGATCTTTGGAGGGAAATCTGGCAGACAGATTTTGGTCTCTTGTTGAGAGGGATTTAATAGGGAGGTCCACACTGACAACATTCTATAATCTTGACTGCTTTGTTAATACTTACCTGAGTAATTTGCTCTTGGCTATTTGGATGACTCCAGCCACCTTCAGGCAACTGTCGCTGGAAAAACATCTGCAAGTTGGCACCCCCATCCGATGCTCGTCTGCCCAGTCCACCTGCTGCAGACAAACACATACCCCTTCTTTATTTTAACCGTAAAAAATGCCTGGCAACAAAGGCGGTGCCATATGAATAGCCACTTGTTTTGAACACATCTTTCTTAGCACTTTGGAAATGATGGATAACAAGATATTATATTTCTATCCCAACATGGTGATCCAGAAAAGTATCCCCCAGTTTTCTATGCTGATGTTCTGGAAAGATGTAGCTGCATGTACTATGTATATACGTACTATGAAGTTGTCCACTTGACAACTCTTTCGACAAAAGTAGATGGAACTTATAATACAAGATGCTCGGTCAGCAGCAGCTTCACTCTGACTGTACCATTCTCAAGAACATCAATTCATTGGCATTCATTCATTCCTCGGCTGACTCACGCTTTGAATGTGTTCTTTCACCTACGCAGTTACTTGTGAAATTACGTCAACTGACCATATGAAGACTGGACCGAGTTCAACTTCATCTTGTACCTAATGTAACTAGTCTTGTATCAAATACAGTATTGTTATTAGAATTTGTCTGTAAAATCTATAGTTTTATAGTGATCATTAAATATCAATGTCTTTCTGGCTTTATCTTTATCTGCTTTCTAAATTACCTCCCCCATGACTTCCTTGAATTGCAACACCCTTCCAATTTTTAGGGAAAGTTAAGAAAAAAATGTAAGTTTATCCAAGAAATAAATAAGTTTCAGTTTTGTATGATCACAGTATAGTAACACGTGGAACAAAATTAATGGCCATTACATTATTTTCTAGCAAAAACTTCCGCGTGAAGGTTTCCTAACTCGTCTGGCAAATAATATTTGGCCAAACATACCAGGATGCATGAAAGGAGGTGGCTTGAGAAGATGTTGGTCTTTGATGGAGAAGTTCTGTGGAGGAAAGTTTTTCACCAGAGGAAGGTTTTGTGGCAAGTTGGTCTGAGGAAGTAGAGACATGGGTGGAGTCTGATAGCCACCCATTATCCCCATCCCTCCTGGCGCTAACAGATGCAGCTGACCTCGCATGTGAGCTTCCATCACCTGTGGACAAATTGGCAATTGGCAACTAACTTAAAAACCACAAACTTGTAAATAAATCTAATTCATTCATTAAATTACATTCTTGGTTCTGTGAGCCACTAATATTCATGACCCAGAGAACTAAGCTGGGCATAACTGACTGTAATGGTGTGTGCACAACACTTTAAACTACAACTTTCATAAAACACTTCAAAAGGAAACCTCAGTTTTCTATAATGTGTATAAATAGAATCATTTGTATTTATCTGTGCGCTCAGCATTACAGCTTCAATTTGCCAACAAATCATAATTGGGAACAAATCTATGAAAACCATGCTTATCATAGCACACAACATACCATACTTGCAAAATTTGTAGCCACCTTTTTTGTCTGCCAAAAACAAAACATTGGCTTGAGTAGAGGTATAACTTGCAACAATATGTAACGCTAGTGAAGATTCTTTCTTGCCTCTACTACCATCCCTTAACAGTCACCACTATCTTAACGTAATTTACAACCACCATTACCATCACGCTATGAATCACAAGTACTGTATGAGCTCACTTATCCAAAGCCATTGAACCATATACTGTATTTGGATTATCCAGCCAACATCATGTCCGGATAATTTTCTGGCAAAACTTTGCCATATCTGGGCAAATCCAGATAACCGGAGATTTGGCCTTTAATAACGCACACTAGCATAGAGTCTAAGTCAAGTCTGGGTAATTTTGTGACAAAACTTTGCCATATCCTGCGCCTGACAGCTGGGTGGACAGCACTTCGGATTCGTAATCCTGAGGTTCCGGATTCGATCCCCGGTGGAGGCGGAGACAAATGGGCAAAATGTTTCTTTCACCCTGATGCCCCTGTTACCTAGCAGTAAAATAGGTACCTGGAAGTTAGTCAGCTGTCACGGGCTGCTTCCTGGTGGTAGAGGCCTGGTCGAGGACCGGGCCGCGGGGACACTAAAAGCCCCGAAATCATCTCAAGATCTCAAGATAACCATGCATACCGAGTATGAATGCTTTCTTACATTCTATGGCTCGCTTGAACTTCCATCTTCTGCTGTTGTTCTTTTGTCCACTTTATCTCTTCCCCCATGTATCTTTTATGTTGTGATAACTCCATCTGTTCCTCCCCTTCCTTTGTTAGGATGAGTTCTCTTAACCTGTTCTCATAGCTGGGGCCCCTTAATTAGTATGCAAAATGTACACAAAGTGTAAATAAACGGAATACTGTATCTACATTGTAGCCAGATTCGTAGGCTGAACAAGTTGAGTGTGTGGTGGTACAGCCCCTACTGTCACCGCAAGAGCTCGGTGTCAGTAAAACATACTACCCAAGCCACACACACATATTAAACGTTGGCGATGGCTGTCTATAGGATTGTACATATGAATTAATGAATGAATGTATGTACCAATAAATAAATGTATCAATGTATGTATCAATGAATAACCATGTATGCATATATTTAAGTACAGTACCAATGTATATATATGCATGTATGTACTTTATCAATGAATATATGAAAGTATCAATTATTTGATATTTTATCATCATCTTCCTGCAGTACTCTAGTCTGCCTTAGTTTTTACTTCCACATTAATTTTGTGTGAACTGCAAGGATGGACATATTCAACAGCACTCCTTTAGGTAGATCATTCACACACATTGTGAACAGCAATGGGCCTAAAACCAACATTCAGACGATGCCGGTTGCTACACCCCACAAGACAGGATGCTGCTGATTGTAACCTTCTGTTTCTTGCATGCCTGGCATTCCCCTACCCTGTTCAATGTTTTTATAGAAAGCAGATGATGAGTCACAATAATGTGGCTGAGGATAATGATGACCAAACAAAGAATTGATTTTATGATGTGCCTTCAAATTTTTTAATGCAGAGAGATAGAAATTTGTGATCAAACCACACACCAGAAGATGAAGAAATGACAACGTTTAGGTCCATCCTGGACCATTATCAAGTCCAGGCATATACGACTTGATAATGGTCCAGGACAGACTGAAACGTTATTATTTTTTCATCTTCTGGTGTGTGGTTTGGTCATTTTATCAGAAAGCCTAATGTTCCTATTCATTTTCTAATGTATTTTTATGAGAAACCATATCAAACACTTTCTAATAGTCTACCCATCCTTCTTTGCATATCTCAGTGACTCCTCCAGAGAGCACTATCAAGTGCTTTTTTGGAGAAGCAAGTCATTTCCTTATAACAGAAATACTGTACTGTAATTTTTTCACTTTAAATCCATGTTAATCCTCTTTTACAAAGTTTATTCTCTCAAAAGTGCTCCTCTAATCTCTCTCTGATTACCCAGTACTTTTCTCCAGAACTCTGCCAAAAAAAAAATGTATGACAGTAATACTAGTGTATAATTTAGTGCTTCCTGTCTCCTCTCTTGAATTCAGAACAGGGAATACAACCCTGGAAACACAAACCAAAACTCTCTATTTTCCGCTTGTTACAACTTGTAATAAAGTTGTTACATCTTGGCTTAACGTGTTTATGACGTATTAGAAGGTTGTTACAACTTGCTACATTGGTTGTTATAACTGGTTAGGTGTTAAAACTTGTCCGAACGTTGTACCAACATCGTAGTTTCGGTGTGTGTTTGGCGGGAATTCCCTTTTTCGAGATTTTTGGGAAGCCTCCTTTCCTTAGTAATTTATTGAATATTCTAGTTAGCTGATAACAGCTTAGCTTCTGTGCTATAATTGCACTAAAATATCTGATACAGTATATACCTATTTTGGCTTGGCATTCCTGCGAGTGACAAGACCCATGATAACAGTCTGAAGAGAGAGTAAAGGCACTCATTCTGGGACATACACTACTAATCATATTTCTACAGTATTGAGCAATTTTTAATGAAAATATAATTCTGTAGTTTGATTTTAAAGTGATAGCTCAATTGCAGGATGTAGCTTAGAAAGAAAGTCTCTACTTTATTGCAGAAAATGTGTCCAAACTTATCTAGCAATTTAGAAATGGGGAGTGGCTTATAATTTTGCAAATACGTTACGTGATAAACTCACCGAGTGCCCGAGATAACCTCACAGCATCAGCATATGGTGTGTGTGTGCTGTAACTAGTTGAGAAACATAAGGGTAAACTTCATTCACTTAGGATACCTACATACTGTCCCTTTGCATTACCTTAATACCTTGGAGACGACCGCACGCTGGGCGGTATATATCCTGGTGTTCATGGTGGGGAAGAGGGAGGGAGGTACGTTATCAGACCTCACACAATGCTAGGAGTATATGGCAGACGACATAGTTACTTCAACATATCATTGTTACCCTTTAAAAAGAAAAAGAGGGTACTTAAGAAGACCCGTATATGACACACACCAAACAGCAACGTCAACAAAGTTGTCATTCCTTTAGCTACATACCTCTTCGTGATGTGTGTCTCCAGGGCCAACAGTATGTCTTCTGGAACACAGGTACTTGTCTACAGACCGCCGAGTGGGTTCGTCTGTATCTGACTCTCCACTGATATCTGTATCACCGTACTGCAGAGTAAAATGGTATTTGTGACAAAAATGATTATTATGCAGAACCCAAGTCACAATAATGTAGCTGAAAATTTAAACACCCAACTCACACATCTGAAAATCAGGAAGACATGACATTTTGGTCCATCCTAGATGATTTGAAAATTGTCCAAAATGGACCGAAATGTCATTATTTCCTTTATTTTCAGATGTGTGGGTTGTGTGTCAAGATTACCCTCAAAAGGCATTTACATATTTGCATACAAAACATTTACCCTCAAAATTGAATAATTACCAAATATGTTTCAGTACACTCCATCAGATACTTCAAAATTTCATACAAGAAAGAATACTGTACTGGGAAGACGCAATACCTCGCACCCTCTAATTCCATTAAGGTAATTACTTAAAACATGTACATACATACACACAAACAAAAATACACACAGGCAGAAAGTATGGCTATAAACCTTCATACAGAACTTCAAGAGCAAATATGACAGAACAGCACAATACTGGAATAAAGTAATTTAAAATCATCAGTACACACACACACATGCACATACTGTACATGCATACATACACGCCCAATGTTCGGGTGTCAAAGGGCTTGGGTTCGATTCCAAAACCGAGGCAGAAAAAAAAAAGCAAAGGGCAGAGTTTCTTTCACTTGATACCTCTGTTCACCTAGCATGTACCTGAGAGTTAGGTACCTGCTGTGAGATGCAACCTCGGGAATGGGGGAGAGTGTGTAATTACCTAAGTGTAGTTACAGGACGAGACATATGCTCGTGGTGGCCCGTCTTTCCAGTACTCTTTGTCGTATAACGCTCTGAAACTACAGTACTGACAGTTTTGGCCTCCACCACCTTCTCACTTACCTAGTTCCAACTGTCTACCACTCTGTTTGCAAAAGAAAATTTTCTAATATTTTTTTCGGCACTTGTTTCCTTAGTTTGAATCTGTATCCTCTTGTTCGTGAAGTTGCTGGCATCATGAATTCCTCTGTCAATTTAATTGATTCCTGTTATTATTTTGTAAGTGGTAATCATATCTTTTTCTTCTATGTTCTAGCTTTGGCATATTTAACGCCTCTAGTCTCTCCTCATAACTTTTGTTTTTCAGTTCCGGAAGCCAATTTTGTAGCATGCCTTTGCACCTTTTCCAGTTTATTGATGCACTTCTCGAGATATGGGCACAATAAAACTGCTGCATATTCCAATTTTGGTCTCACGAAAGTCATGAAAATTTTCTTCAGTATTTCACCATCCATGTAATTAAAAGTAATGCTGAAGTTGGAAAGTAACGCATATGCTCCTCGCACAATGGTCAATGGTCGCACAATTATATGTTCTTCTGGTGACGGTCTACTATCTAAAACCACCCCTAGATCTCTCTCTTTATTATAGTTATTTTTAGTTCCTTTCCACATAATTTGTAAGGGGTGTGGTCTATTTTCTCCAATTCCACATTTCATAACATGACATTTATTCACATTAAATTCCATTTGCCACATGTCACTCCAAGCATTTATTTTATCTAGATCCATTTGAAGGGCATGACAATCGTCTCTTTCTCCTATCTTCCCAAATATCTTAGCATCATCCCCAAACATGTTCATATTATTCTGTATTCCTTCTGGTAGATCATTTAAGTAGACAATGAACATTACTGGTGCAAGAACTGAACCTTTTGGTACTCCACTAGTAACACTCCTCCAGTCAGATACACTGCCTCTAATTACCACCCTCATCTGTGTCACACAAATTTTCAACCATGTCAGCATGTCTCCTTGTCATCCCTCCAGTATGTTCCAGTTTCCATGTTTCAGTATGTTCCTCTTGTGTGGCACTCTGTCAAAGCCTTATTTAGGTCTAGATAGAGACAGTCAACCCAACCATCTCCTTTCTGTATAATCTATGACTATCATAAAAACTAAGTAGATTTGTTACAAGAAATCTTCCTGTTCGAAAACAATTCTGTCTATCCATTATTATGTCATTACTCTCCAAGTGTTCTATACATTTGGTTTAAATATTTTCTAGTGTTTTGACTACCACACCTGTTAATGATAATAGTTTATAATTTAGAAGGTCTTTTCTGTTACCATTTTTGTAGATTTGAACTATGTTTGCTTTTTTCCCATATATCCGCTTAGTTTCATGGAGAACAAAGATGTTTGGATTATCAATTGAAGTGGAATGCTCAGATCAGTTGCATGTTCTCGCAGCACCCAAGATGAAACTCCATCTGGTCCAGCCGTTTTATTTCTTCCTAACCCCTCAAGTAATTTTTCCAGTTCGCCGCGAGACATCTCTATACATGTGTGCCTGTAATTACCTAAGTGAAGTTACAGGATGAGAGCTACGATTGTGGTGTCCCATCTTCCCAGCACTCTGTCATATAAAGCTTTAAAACTACTGACTATTTTGGCATCTACAGCCTTCTTACTAAACTTGTTCCAACCATCTACCAATCTATTTAAAGAAAACAAAACAAAAATTCTATTGTTATTTTGGCACCTTTGTTTCCTTAGCGTGGATCGACAAAATTGACAAAAACATTTTGAAAACTGCAACTTTAAGAACAAGAAGGCATAGGTTCAAACTGAGGAAACAAAGCTGCCCAAAAAAACATTAGAAAGCTTACTATTGCAAACAGAGTGGTAGAGAGTTTAAACAAATTAAGTGAGGTGATGGAGGCCAAATCCATCAGTAGTTTCAAAGTATTGTATGACAAAAAATACAGGGAAGACCATCACTAGCGTAGCTCTAATCTTGTAACTACACTTAGGTAATTACAAACATGTGCACGTGCGCATACATGTACACACCCAGTAGGCTCCCAGTACGCTCAGGAATCTGTACACCAGTTGATTGACAGTTGAAAGGTGGGACCAAAGAGCCAGAGCTCAACCCGCACAAGCACAAATAGGCGAGCACACGAGGTAATGACAGTCAACTCGTATACACATTGTCTCTCTTATTATCCTAAATCATATCTTTGGCCCACATTCAATCCTCTTCTCTTCTCTTTTCCCCCCACCCCCAGTCCCCTCTCTCAACAGCACCCAAACACTACCTCTCACCTTCTCTATAGAGTATGCTTGATGAGGGTCATGGAGGACAGGCAGATTTTGGGGTATGGGTGAACAGAACAGAGGCAGAGCACGTGGAGTCTCCTCCGAGTCAGAGACTGGACTTCTGTCGACAAACCCTGAGGGAGTGCAATGTGCAGTAGTTTATAATATGATTTCCACCTAAAGGTATCTTCCAATTTCATTAGTTCTTCAAAGTTAATTTAAGGCAGGCCATTGAGATTTATTCAACAGAAAGCAAAAAATTATTTCTAGTTAAAATTCAAATTAAAAACACTTAAAATCCAGACATCAGAGCTGATTTTGAACCTGTTTCTCCATGGCTTACCAATGAAAGACTCGTGCAAAACAAATATCCCATTTCGGGTATCATGCTGTATTTAACTTAATAAAAACATATAATGGAACGGTAGATTTAGTTTCATCACAATTCAATTATGTATAAATTTAATAATAAAAACACCCTTCCCCTTCCCCAACACATACACATTATTATTCCATGTCCTTACTGCTATTAAGAAATGAAATCATTGAAGCCTTATGTTAAAACATTTATATTAAAAATGTAAATATCACATTGATCATAATGAAAGAACACCCATCAGTGAACATCTTGAGTAATATTATACTCTGAATACTGCACGCGCGCGCACACACACACACACACACACACACACACACACACACACACACACACACACACACACACAAAGAGAAAGGGAGAGGAAGAGAGAATGAGACAGACATACTGTCTCATGTACCATACTGCTACTATGATACTCCAAAACATTATACTCTACCACAACAAACATGCACAATAACAGCTCACAGTTAATGTCTGAGAACTGTAATTGTCATATCACTAAGACCACATAAATATATTCTGCAAAAAGAGACGTATGCAAAATGGAAACACAAGGAGTTACAGTCAATGAATCAAAATTCAAAAAATTCCTTGGGTGAAGTACCGAGTTACATGCAAGAGTTAGCTGTTGGGATAGGAGCTACTGTACGGTTTAGTGCAATTCTGAAACATTATAGTGCAAATTGTCAAATTCCAACTGTACAATGTTCTCTGAATCAAAAGCGTTGATATTTGGTACCTTGTGGAATGGCCTCATGAGAGTTGATTTGCAACATTTTCACTACATCCTCTACAAGCCTCTAAATATAAAGCTTGCAGCACTTTGAAACACCTGCTGAAGGCTTCCATAAGCCAGTTTAACAGCACTGTATCTAGTGTGGGAGCAACTATTTGCATGAATTATGAATAAATTACTAGAATGGATGAAACCACTTTGCAAACATAAATAAAAAATGTTAGTATTAAAATAAGAAAAAGAAGGTTAAAAATATAAATGTAAAAAAATAACTGACACGAGGCCAACCAGTACATCTGAAGCATACTTTACTTTGTCAGTGTTTTCATACATTTAATCAAAATTCACTTAATGCCCTTTGTCAGAATCACACAAGGATTAGGAGGAGAGAGAGCGCCAGCAGGAGGGAGAGACAGAGAGAGAGAAAGTGAGAGAGGAGAGAAAGAGACAGAGAGAGAGAGAGAGGAGAGAGAGAGAGAGAGAGAGATGGGAGGGGAGAGGAAGGTACTCACCAGTAGTAATGGATGACTTTCTGTGGTGTGTGGGTACAACTGGGAGGGCCTGTGGATAAAGGGCGATGGAGGGTGACGATGAAGCTTCTGCCACCTTCTCTTCCAGGAGGTGGTATATGGCACTAATGTGGTCAAACTTCATCCCATGCACACACTGAGGAAGTCGTAATCTTTAGTTAGTACTGCAATCTACACACGATTAGTTATATCATGCAACACTCAATATAATCATGAAGCAACCACATTTTGTAAATTATATTGTACATGTTTATAGTCGTACAGCATATTATAAAAGGAATTTGGAATCATGAACCAGTTTATGCAAGCTCAAGTATACTGTAGTGCAAATTCTAACTTATGGAGTGTTTCCTAGCTTGTGCATAGTAACTTTTAAGGTGTCTTGTTTTACATATATACGGTGCAACCTCAATGAGCTGGACTAAATTATATATTCCATACAAGTCCTCTGACAAAACCCATGTGCATGCATTCAACACTATCATACTTGCTCTTGAGACTGTGATTTGGGGTCGATTCGACCATTTCTGATTAGAGCTAATTCCACGTGTTTACCACTCATTGCTTGTGTGCATTTCTTAGCATTTCTCTAGCTCATCCCAGCATTCTTTTGTTTTTAGCCACATCACCTGTTATCTTTAATATCTGTTATGTTATGCCATATCACCTCGTGTCAATCTCTTCTTCCGAAGTTAAGTTTGACCATGCTTAGCCCGTCCTCATAGCTTATGTATTTTGTCTTTGAGGGTTACATGCTGGAACTGATAATCTACAATTGGCCTAACACATGCCACATATAGCATTCACAAGTATTCCTTGGTTAGGTTCTTGAAAGCCGTCCTATTGTTTGCTACTCCTGTATAGGCAGCTGATGTTATTCTGTTAATGTACATTTAACCCGACACTGGATAATAACGAAGATGAATAATACAGTATACCCAAGTTAGAGTAATTTGTATAATGAAATTTAAGGTATCTGGGGAAGGGTGATAACTTACTCTTAACTTTTTAGCATAATCCATGTAAATCACTAAAGTCGATTAATAATCATCAGTACAGTATTTGGAAATTCTAGGATTGACCTGGCATCTGCACCTCACTTTTGAAAGTTGTTACTCCAGTTACTCTTAGCCTATTTCCATTCTCCTCCCAGTTAGGACTTAATAGTCTGGGACAGACCAAAATGTTATAATTTTCTCTTCTTCAATATGTCATTTTAATGTATTTGGAGAGGGTTCTGGGAATTCTTCTACTCCACAAGCCCGGCCTGGGGCCAGACACGACTAGCGATAACTTGCTCCAATACTTCTTGCAGCAACATGTAATTATTTTCTTCAATGTGTCCATTTTTGTTCCAGCAAAATTCCTTAAGTTTGTTGGTAGGATATTAAATAGTTGTAAACCTCTAATGTTCATACAATGTTCCCTGATTATACGTATGTTACCTCTACTCTTCACTGGTTCTATTTTGCATTTTCTACCATATTGTTCACTTCGGCATGGTGTTATTTTACTGTGCAAATTTGGGACCTGGCCTTCAAGTATCTACCACGTATGTATTGTGGTACCTTTTTTGTCTCCTTTCTAGAGTATATTTTGAGTGTTTTGAGACGGTCTCAATAATTTAGGGGCTTTATCGTGTTTAAGCATGCTGCACATGTTCTATGTATTCCCTCTATTTTAGAAATCCCTTCTGCTTTGAAAGGGAAAGTGGGTACTAAGCAATATTTATGGCAGAAAAGCACAGTGATTTGAATAATAGGAGTATTGTGGTGGAATTCCTGGATTTAAAGGTTCTCATACTCTATCCCTTCATTTTCTTGGTTGATGCTATATTTGTTCTGTTATGTTCACTAGACATCAGATCGTCTGACATCATTATACCCAGATCCTTTATATGTTGTTTCCTTCTATGTGAGGAGGAACTTTGTGTTTTGTACACTATGTCATTTAAGTTCTTTACTTTTATCATGCTTAAGTACAGTATCTGGAATTTATCACTGTTAAACATCATTTTTTATTTTGTCCAATCGAAGACTTTGAAAAACCACAAGCTGGTGTTATTAATGTCTCCTACAAAAGTAATTTTCATGCTTATTTTTGTATCCTCTGCAAATAATGACATGAAACTGTGACTTGTATTTTGCCTGATATAACAATGAGAAAAAGCAGTAATTATCCAAGTGTAGTTACAGGACTGTGCCCGCCAGTACAGAATGGACTGGCTTGGACTTGATTTTGTTTGATTTACTCTTTGACAGAAACTTTAATATCACACATACTACTGATCTCATTTTATGGACCATCACTATGTAGTCACATTTATTTAATGCCTTTCAGTTTGTTTTTCTTTCAATGCTTCCTTGATTCTGTCAAAGTGGTTGAGTAATCCAAAAGGCAGAATCTTCCCAACTGCAAGACATTCTGTATTGTACAGAACCAGGTTAAGTGAAAGATGTAGAGAGGCATTTTTCATGGTATAAGATTTTGTATTGTAATATATTCTACTAAAAGCACGAGACATAATTAAAAAGTAAAACTACTGGAAATCAACATACGGTGTTGAGCCATATTTCAACACAAACACAACAAATCCAGATCTTGACACAAATTTTGGATTGCCTATTTAATATCAAAATCCTTCAATTATTTAAATGTATTCCTGATAAAGAGGTCTGAATTCCGGAGACTCCACTGTACATTTATACAGACGACCCTTATATAACGCTGTAATAACACTCCTGTAAAACCACAATGTCTTTTGCATATATGCAATATAAACTGACTAAAGTGGGATGAACAGGGTTACGTTCCCATTATGGCAAAGATGTACATTACATGCATACTTTATCCAGACACAAATTGTATGGTATGCACGAAGGTGTATGTGAATGGTAAAGGAAGCTTGTGTGTAATTTAAGTGTACAGTAGTTATAGGATGAGAGCTACGGGCGTGGTGTCCCGTCTTCCCAGTACTCTGTCATATAACCTTTTGAAACCTACTGAGGGTCTGGCCTTCACCGCCTTCTTATTTAACTTGTTCCAAACGTCTATCATTGTTTGCAAAAGAAAACTTTCTAATATTTTTTGGCACCTTTGTTTCCTTAGCTTGAATCTATGACCTTGTTCTTGAGGTTGCAGGTTTCAGGAATTCCTCTTTGTCAATTTGGTCAATTCCTGTTATTATTTTTGTAAGAGGGGATCATATCGCCTCTTTTTCTTCTATCCTCTAGTATTGGCATATTTAATGCCGCTTGCCTCTCTCCATAACTTCGGTTCTTGAAGCCAGTTTGTAGCATGCCTTTGCACCTTTTCCAGTTTATTGATATGCTTCTCGAGATATGGGCACAATACAACTGCTGCATATTCCAATTTTGGTCTTACAAAAGCCATGAACAGTTTCTTTAATATTTCACCATCTATGTACTGTAATTAAAAGTGATACTGAAGTTGGAAAGCGCAGCATATGCTCCTTGCACAATGCCCTTTGAGTGTTCAGCTGGTGATGGTCTACTATTCAGAACCACCTCTAAATCTCTTTCTTTGTTAGAGTTCTTTAAGGCCTTTCCACATAATTTGTAGATTGTGTGTGGTCTATTTTCTCCTATTCCACTTTCCATAACATGGCATTTATTTACAATAGATACAAATCTTTAAATTTTATCCTTTACATGCAGCTTGCTTTTAATGAATTTATAGAAAAGGCCTGGATCTGTTTTACATTTGTTCATTACCCCTTTCTCAAAGTTTACTTTCTGGCTCTCTTTCTCCTCACTGCTGTGCATTTGTTTCTTATTTGTTTGTAGTGATGTTATGTTTGAAGGTTAGGCCTCTTCCCATATTGTACCCATTTTCTTGTCTTTCTCTTGTCTTTCCCTCTCTGGCCCTCTCACAATTTCTGTTGAACCAATCCTATTTTCCGGCTCTGCATCTCTGTTTTGGTATACAGGTAAATTTTTTGTTGTGTTGTGAAATCATACATTTCTCAGAATTTGGCATACATCTCATTTACTGCCTTGCTTAGCAACAAGTCTTTCCAATTAAATTAATTAAAGAATTTGCAAAGTTCCCCATAGTGTCCTCTCTTGAAATCAAGTTTCTCAATTACTGTATTTCAATTTCCTCACTCTCTTCTAGATTATATCACATTGCACATTTCATTTCCATCAGAATATGGTCACTCCCGAGGAAGGAAAGGGGGTGACTGTAGGAATGGGGGTGTTGAGTGGGTGGATGATAGGGTGAGTGGATGGCAGGGCATGTGGGGTGGGTGGCAGGGTGTGTGTAATTATCTTAGTGTAGTTACAGGATGAGAGCTATGCTCGTGGTGTCCCATCTACCCCAGCACTCTGTCATATAGCTTTTTGAAGCTACTGACGGTTTTAGCCTCCACCACCGTCTCACTTAACTTGTTCCAACCGTCTACCACTCTGTTTGCAAAAGTGAATCTTTTGTGGATGGGTGCGAGTGTGTGGGAGGAAGTGGGCGGGAGTGGTAGAGAGAATGGATGAGAGTGTGCGAGTGTGATAGTAGGCATGAATGGTCGTGAAAGTTGGAGTGAGGAGGGAGCCAAATCATGGTTGTCTGCGCTCGAGTGGACAAGTGCCAAGAGTGTGGGTTGCATAATAATAATGCACGCAATTTAACCTAGTGATCAACAAATGAAAACCACTCTGTATAATCACATGTTATACAAGGATCATCTGTATATGTATCCATGTGTATATATACACATACAGTATAACAAAGCTTCACAAACTTGTGTTCACAGTAAAAATCCATGTGTATGCTGTCAAACTGGTGGAGTATCCCAAATATAGGCAAGCAGCAGATGACAAAAGTTAAATAATATTTTAGTTAAAAATAAAATAAAGTGTTTTTTCTGCATGCAAAGCAGTGACAAAAAAAATTCTAAGGTTTTCATTAGAATCAATGGGTGCAGGAAACACTCCTGATTACACAAAAAACAGCCAAGGTTTAGACAAGAAAGTAATAGTTTACAAGATTAAAACATTGTACAGTATGGTATAGTGCCTATGCAATTTATTATGAGTGAAAATGTCACCAGACTATATACAAAAAGTTATAATTCTGAAAATGATTCTGAAGTTGCAATGAAGAAGATTGATCAAATTTCACTGAAGAAACATAGGCACTAAACATAACAAATTTTTAAAACACACAGACACACAGACAGACAAAACATGCACGTTTTGCGAAACATCGAGCAAAATAATTTCCTTCGTCTGTGGGTAATGTGCGTGACCAAACAGGAGAGAGAGATCTCCGAGATCAGCACATAACCCTAACTTGGGCAATTCTCATCCCTCACCTGCAAGATCTTTTCTCTATCTAAGTCGGGTATTATGTGCATCATGTGCTCTAGCACCTGGTCATTGTCAGGCGGGGGACGGTCAGATTCCGCTGTGTTGTAGTGCTGTAGGATTTCTGTAATTTTTGAGTCTATACCTTCCTGTTGAGGCAAAGAATACATAATAAAATATATCAATAATAAGAAATAATATTTAACAATATAAAAAAGTAAATTTTAATGTTGGTATAGTATGGTGTTCATGGAACACTCATTCAGTTATATTTCATACGAACACAAGACAAAATTCATCTGCATATCAATACATATGAAAAATTAAATAGGGCATTGAATAAAACAAAACGCCCCTTTCTGAGCAACACCACAGTGGCATCACAACGCTTTGACTCTGGCCCTTCCCAGGACAATACCAGTGCACCAGGTTATGAGTGACTTTACACCTCAGAGGGAGAGGTACTTCTTCAAATTGTCTCATCTCCTCTACACAAATGGGCAAGGAACTTGGAGGAGAACATACTTCATTCTGCCCTGGGGTATCTGCTTGCTATCACACAGAAATACTTTAAATAACTCATAAGAATAGGGGTACAACTGCTGGTCCCCAAGAATCTCAATTAGTCAGGCTACTCTGATGAAGACCAGTGTAATGGTATACAAAGCAGGGGCAGTCAATGTGGTCTGTCAGGTAGTGGGTAGTTAATTACCATGTTCTATCGATGTGTAAACTGTTCCTGTTTGTCCTAATGAAAAACAGCAGGATGCAGGCGAACACACCAGGAATCGGTGCATTCCCAAAATCTTACGATTTACAGGTTCACCACTAACTGGGGACACCAAAAATCAAAATGCCACAGAAGCATTTCTGAAACACAAAAACCAGACCAAGCTGCTCATAGACCCAACCAAAAGCAGCAGTCTAGACACAAGAGGCAAGTATTCAGCATACTTTCACTTGATCATGGACTCCTCACAACAGAAATACAGCTATACAGCTTGATAAACATAAGTCAGCACCAGACCCCCCCCCCCCAGGCTAGAGAGAGTCCAAAAAGAAACAGCCAAAGCAGCAGCCCAGCTCAAGAGAAAAATAGGCCATACCTAAGCAACCAACTGTCATGAGTCATTATTAAACAACAAGTACCAGGGAAGATAATCCTGAAACGAACCTGAAATGGAAAGCATACTCGGGCACACACGCACACCTGGTAACCACACCATGAAGCAAACACCAAAGCAATAGATACCCAGTGCAGAGACAAAGCCTCAAGGAAAACAAACAGCTTAACTAAATCAGCATCTGGAACACCGAGCTGTGGATGAAAGCCAAACAGAAAGCGAGGGCTGCTTTGGATAACTGCAAAGCTCCTTGTCATGGTGGGGTGAAGTGAAGAAAATCTGACATCTTAACAGATACCAGGCTGGGACCTGGGTGTTGGCTCCAGCAAGCAACTGAAGGGAGTCTTGCTCAGAAGAAACAATGAATTAAAATATTTTATCCTTTTGAATTTGGAAGAAAATTATATGAAGAGAATGGGGAAATTAAATGATTCTCCTTGCCATAGCACAGAGTGCTTTACAAAGTCTTGTTTGTATGTACATAATGACATTGCACTCATAATTGCATAGGTATTGTTGTATATTGTAAATCAAATACACTATATTTTGAAATACAGTTTTGTCCTGTACAGTATTTACAAAATCTTAACATTGCTTTAGTTTGAAAGAAAAAAGGATTTTTTTTTTAAGTTATTCATTAGCATTATATTTGTACGAAGGAAAATTTGTTTTTCAGTAGCTTATTGAGCCAGAGAATTATCTACTGAAGGCAAAGGTAACACTTGATAATCTGACTGCTATGTGTCACCCAACATGTGGTAAAACTTCTATATGTACACTGCAACAATACTTCCAATACAGTAAAACATGGCTGAAGGGCCTGTTGTAAAGTACTTCCTTTATATATCTACCTTCCTATTACTTTTCATTTCCTTACAATCTTCACTATCATTAATCACCGTCGTTTCCTTTTCTTCCATTACGCCTTTCTTTCCCGGTGTTTTCACCTTCTGACATCTATCTAGCAACTGCCTCACTTCATGTTCTTTCTTTTCTACTCCTATCTCCTTTCTCTATTATTTAATTATCCAGCTGCACAGTCCTTTTACCTCTTTCACCTCTTATGACATGCTCTAGATTATTTCAGAGCTCTGGACTCTAATTTTTCCCATATCCTCTCTCACTGGGGAATTTTAAATCTTTGTAGTCCTGTTATCTTTGTCCTTATATGTACTACTTACACTACGCTTTTGGATTCTTGTCTGTATTTAATCCTCACGTTCCTTCATACATTATAAAATATGCTGACATATTCCCATACTCACTCATTCATCCCTAATAGATCACCTGTTCCATCCAGTAGGCGTTTCCTCCTCCCTCAATACCGGTATTGCTTCTTCCCATGTTCCTCCTATTTCATCGAGCCCGGCCTCACCTACTCTCGAAACCCTCTCCAGGTATGCTCCAGGTATCTACTTGTCACTTTCTCAAATTCCTTTGAACAAATGAACACAGGTAAAATATGTAAACCACTTACATATTTTAACTTTTTCTCCAGTTTTTGCTCTCTTGTGTCCAGTTCTTGGCATCAGGTGCAGTACTTTAAATCAGAAAAACTACAGAAGCACTATAGAATTTTGTTAACCTCGGTAAACACAGCGCGCTGACAAAGCTTGTACAGTGTTTGCTGACATACAGTACTGTTCTCCTGTTGCCTTGTTATATTTTATCACCTGTTGTTGCTCTTATCAACATTGTTCTCATTCCCAAAAGATTTATGGATGGGCCACTTTGTGGCACTGTGTTGGGAGCAACCAGGCTTCCACCTTCTAATCATTTGTATTCACTTCCTTTGCCTCTCCTCCTTTGTGAATTCTGTGATTTTTCTGGTATAAACCCACAAATACACATGTAAAATACACTACTGAATAGATACAACTTTGTTTCCTTGTTCTGTTATTTCTCAAAAATTTCACCCTCTGGCCTTACTTTCCCCACTCTCCTGCTTAATCATATAAATTTCTCTTCTACCTAACTTTTCCCAATATATTTCTAGTTAATTTCTCTGTTTAAGTCTCTTGAAATCACAATAGTGCTCAGGACCACCCAACTTTTACTCAACTTTTGCAACTTTTACTAGATGTTGCAAGCTATTTCTTTTCCATCCAGCAATACTGCATCTTAAATTATCAATTTTTTAACCCCATTTATCTTTGTATTCCCTCCTTCCCTCACACTGGTACTTGGCACATACAGGCCTACACAGTTTTCTACAAACATTCCAATACTTGTGAAGCCCACTTGCTGCCAAAAACTGCCCAACTAGATTTACTATATTCAAACTGATCATTGCTCATGTTTTAGTGATGTTCAGTAAAATTACTTAAGTGTAGTTACCGGATGAGAATTAGGGTCGTGGTGCCACGTCTCCCTAGTACTATACTTATTCTTAAAAGACACAAACTACAAACTGTTTGGCATCCACTAGCTTCTCACTTAACTTGTTCAATCTATCCACTGTATGCAAAAGAGACCTTTCCAATGTGTTGTGGTGATAGTATCTGAAGTAGTAAATATGGAGAGGGAGAGAAAATGAAGTAGAAAGATAAATTACAATGTACTGTGGGAGGAATGCCAATTATACACTTATAGAAAACCACACCAAAAATGTAAAGCCATATTTTACGTTTAATCCTGAAATACTGTACTGATCAGATGCAGCAACTTGTAACGTTGTGTATTAAGATATGAAAATTTACATTTTATTAGATACTGTATATGGATACAGTAGTTTAAAAAGGTAAACATTTCAAGTTTCAATAAAATATCTTGACTTTTCTTGCAATATTTATAAAAAGAAAATTGTCATCAGAACAAAGTTTACCCAGGTACTGAGAGTATCCTCAAGCAGCAAAATGTGTGCGCATAACAATTTCGGTGCTGCTATACTTGTTTATTTTTTAGATATAGCCCAAGGTTTCATCCAATCCCAGCAATATTAGAATGTAACTAATACCTACCACCATAGGCTACACAGTCCAAAAACAATAGGAGTCTTCCTTGCACTACCATATGCAAATGCTGAATGTTTCAAGTTAATTCAAAGCAAAGCATTCTCCAGATACTGTATTATACAAGCACAGTAAAATTTTTGGGAAAGAAATAAAATCTTGCTAAAACCAATAGGCACATAGCAATACTGAAAATACTTATTACCCAAACAACTTGTACCATCATCAACACAATTTACCAGATTCAACAAACACAATATATAAACAATTCAACCTTGAAATTCTCTCCAATCCCTTTATCCTTGACAAACTTTCCATACTACAACACTATACATTTATCCAGCTTGCTAATCTCCACAAGCTTAGTGTCCCGAGCAGCCTTGAGGACCAAGGCACTACACGAAATCCTTGTTTATTGTTTTTTGGGGGGTTTAAAAAATGAACACTCACCATTGTTATCCATCTGTGTTGCATTATCCGTTCTATATTTATTCTCTTTTCAGGGTCTACTTGTAGCATCTTCCTAATCAAATTATCACAATCTGAAAGAGGGAATACAAACACTATATAAAAGATCCAAGCCTTCAATGTAGCAATCATTTTTAGTCAACTCTTAATAACTGTTCCAACCATTAGAGATTCTAGTAAAAAAATACTGCATGTAATTTTGCTAGCAAAATAATCTTGACAATTAATTAGCCCACAGCAATTTTATTCAAACATAATGGATTTAACTCAAAATACTGGGTATAAATTAGATAAGATTAGATTCAGGAAAGACTCGTAGGAAAGATTCTGGTAGGAGGAGGGGTGTTAGTGTTTAGACAGGGAATCCCCCTTCCATTATAACATCAGGCAGTGATGACTTCTCTGAGATACTCTCTCTCTCTCTCCTACATTTTGCAGGCATACCACTAGGACCTGGTTGTGGCTCACTGCTTGTTTGTCTTACTAAGAATCTGTCTAAAGACACTTGTTTTTCCCTACATTTTAACACTTGTCTGAAGTGAGACATCACATTGTCATTAAAAAGGTCAATGCAATGGCTTGCAACAGCTAATTCTGGGCGAGTTTTTCAACAAAACTTTGCAGTTCTTCCCATACTTCACACATTTTCTTTATGAGGACGGGACTGCCTCTACTCACAACTATTTTCTTAGGTTGAATCTTACCACTGACTTTCTTGGGACCCATGGCATAATATATAGTAATTACTTTCATGTTCAAAAAACAAAAAAGCACAAAAACAATGAAATTCTTTACAAAAAATTCAAACGCGATTGTCACTAAGCAGGCGGTGTGGTAAACCAAAGCGGGGTCGCCCATGCCACCAGGAACCACGCGCTCCGTCGATCCATATGTTTATCAAAGTCGCAAGTCGAGGCAAAGCTCTTAAGACGAGTCAAATTTTCCATAGTAATTGGGGTCGTAACTCAAAAAATTAATAAGTCGGGGCATTTGTAAGTCAAGGTTCCACTGTATTGAAAATTTCATCAGCACATAAAATAAATTTAATAATTGTTACAAGATTGCTACAGATACTGTACAGTACTTATATTAATGCCTGCTTCCCAACTATCTACTGTATACTTACAGTGCCATATTGCCAAGTACAAAACATCACAGAAAATATGATACAAAATACTGTACAGTATTTTTACCGATTCTTTTAAACTGCCAAATAATCTTAAGTGAAAACTTATTTTCTTTGGCAGTTTAGGACATTTCAAAATTGTTTAAGTTAATTAAAGGTCAACACGCAATACATGAGCAAACAATAGCAGTTATAAATTATATTATTATACTACAGAGGACAAGAAAAAACTAAATTTTGTACATTTCTGGAAGGCATTAAAGCATCATTTGAGATATATATATATATATATATATATATACATGCTTTCTTGACATTAAAACCTGTGAAAAACTTGCATATATGTATGTATTTGACGAGATAGGAACTCACCTGAGGACATGAAGTATGGTATTCTAAATTTGCCAGCAACCACAATTGATCTCAAGGTTTGTAAGGTTTTGGCATCGAAAGGCAGGTATCCACACACCAACACAAATAATATGACTCCCAAACTCTGTAAAACCACACAAAAGATTGATCAGCTGGAGTAGCTTTGATTGTTGATCCTATTATTTTTTTTTTTTTTTTTTTTTTGTAAAACCGGGATGTACAGTTCTCGAAATTCAAGCAGTCAAGGAAAAAATTCAAATTATATTAAGAAAAAACCTATATTGATAATTTAAATACAGGTATCACTAACATGTGTTCTTTGTTTTATTTTGTATAAACTTTTTGCATATTTTACTGTTCAATATAACAAGACAATTTCAGCAGCTATTTAAATTAACACAATTGGCAGCGACACTTATTTTAACACGATTGCAGAGATACGTTTTAAATAACGTTTTCTGCTATTCACAGAAAATTCTATGCGGCTAAGGGTCATAAAGTTTGAAAACTTAATTATATGTAAAGATTCAGGTGCAGTCTATACTATATGGGAAGAAATAGAACGAGGGGACACAGGAGGAAACACAATGTATTAATAGACGTACTCTAAGAGAAAGTACTCTTAATAGAAAGTATTGTACTCATATAGCAAAGTGGGTAAACAAGCAAAGCCAACTTGTTAAGAGCATATACAACAGAACACTGGGATGTCATCATCACCATTTCCTACTTTCATGAGGTGAAACAGCATTAGTGAGAAAGGTGAAAAATCTATTCTAAACATTGTAGTTGTCCACTCACAGTATCTCACACACACACACACACACTACATAGCACATCATCACAGCAACCCAGAGCGACCACACTCCAAACATCGCATTACTAATCCAATACTTGAAAGAGAACAGGACTCAATTTTTGTCACCCAAAATGAGGTGCATGTTGATGAAATAGAAGTGTGCTTGAGTACACTGTCAAACTGGAGGAGGAGACCAGACTAAGCAACAGATCAAGGACAAAACTCCAGAAGGGAGAAGGGGAAGGCAACAGATGAGCAAGAGAAAACTTGTAGGAAATCCCATGGGAAAATAAACTAGAGGGGAAGACACAAAATAAAATTATGGAATATCTGATACATGCCTATTACTACTAGCTAAACAAAACCGTTTCATTGAATTGTTCACCCCACCTTCAAAGGAAATCAAGAAGTTTAGAAAAATCTGTGGTTCAATATGAAGTGGTGAAAAGTAAATGGCAGAGCCAGGAAGGCATGGAAGAAATTTAGAAAAATCTGTGGTTCAATATGAAGTGGTGAAAAGTAAATGGCAGAGCCAGGAAGGCATGGAAGAAATATAGATAATAGGACAGAGTTTCAGAGTATCTATGAAAGACTGAAATTCCAAGAGACCTCATCCACCATGATAACCTGAGCCAGGAGTGATAGAAAACTTTCCCACCATGAAAAAGATGGGTACCACCTGGACTTAACATCAGGAGGAAAAATGGGAATTCGCAAGCGTAGAAGTTGGAGGGGAGGGAAAAGACTCGGAACCAAAACTGACGCCTCTGGGTAAAACAACAGAGGCAGAAACCCAATGTTTATACAGTACAGTAGTATGAAAAAATAACAAAAATAACCGGGATATCAGAAATGAGCACACAAGATTAAGAAGAGATGTAACAAAGCAGTTTGAAAATGTCACCTGCCACAGCCACAATTCTTATCCAGAGGACACAGTGGTTCTTACCTTAGGAGCAACCAAATGCAAATAGCTCAGAAAATTTAAATTCAGTACAGTACACAGTACTATAACTTTTCAATATTATAACTACTGTATTCAAAATAAAACACTAATATATTGCCAATCTCTCTCTCTTCTCTTGCTCTCTCTCTCTCTCCCCCAACCTTTTATAAGGCATTTAAACATCTAATAACAAAAACTCTCAAAAGGTTCATCTCACCCAGACATCAGCTTTAGGCCCATCGTACTCTTTGCCTTCAAAGAGTTCTGGGGCAGCATAAGGAGGTGAACCACACCACGTTGATAATAGCACTCCTGGTGTGTAAAAGTTGCTGAATCCAAAGTCTGTAAGATACGCTGAGAATAAGCCATTTTATCATGATACATTACAGTAAAATTAATAACATAAATGAGAATATTAAAAATATTTTCTATAATACAGTAGTATGTTCTCTAGTAGATAATCCCTTTTAAATACAAACAAGAATACATAATCATCACCGAAACAGAGTAACATGGTAAAATAGAGCAGAAGAAGAACTTATATATCCAGCCCGCAGGGTGAAAACAAAACAAACGAGGCCACTAAGACCCAGAGCCTAGTGTGTCCCAACCTATACCCTGGCAACACAAAAGGAAAAGGTACATCAAAAAGCTTGAAACACAAGCAGGCACAAAAACCCAAAGATGATATGCATTCATGTTAAGCAGCAACCCGAGGCGGGCAAAACCAACCCACAACAAGAACCCAATGCCCTGAAAAGCAACACCCAGCATGGCTAGAAAAACACCCAGTGTCGGTCAACAAAGAAAACACCCAAACTTGATCCTTTGAAACCAGAAGCACAAGAGGCACCAGCAACAAAAAGTGGGATATGCCCACAACAAAGCCACCAAACACAAAAAGTTAGAAGCAAGAAGCTGGAGACAAAAAGCAAAAAAAAAAAGTGACAAGGCAGGAAAGGGAGAACCCATCAGAAATGGGATCGTGAATAGGAAAGAACACAACTCTCAAGATACCCAAAAGATGGATGAGAGACAGTTAAAATCATAAGGGAACACAGGAAACTACATGCAGATGTGCATAAACCCTCCACTGAACCACAATGTTAACAACTGCAAGGGAAACGAATACCCCCCCTAACAGGATTAACAGCAAATAGAGGTCAAAGCTCCCACACCATCCTGGCTCAGCACAAAGTACAAACATAGAACCAGCAAGGTACCATGCCACATCCTATACAACCATTATACACAATCACAAATATATTAAGTACAAAAATACATGGGTGAGGCAGGGACCTGATACCACAACCAGAAAGTAGTAGACACACCAAACTCCAAAAAGAGAATGATCACATTTAAAAGCAAATCTGACACCTTGATGCACCTTTGAGAAAGAACATGAAATATCTATGAAGGACTGGAATTCCAAGAGACCTCATCCACCATGATAACTTGAGCCAGAGCTGAGGAGACAGTATCAAAACTTGCAAGGGTGATAAAAAACATTCCCACCATAAAGAAGATGGGTACCACCTGGACTTAACACCAGGAGGAAAAATGGGAATTCACATGCGTAAAAGTTGGAGGGGAGGGGAAAGATTCGGAACCAAACCTGACACCTCTAGGCAAAACAACAGAGGAAGAAATCCAATGTTTATACAGTACAGTAGTATGAAAAAATACTTTATTGTATTTAAAAAAAACCATAAAGTATTAAAGCAAAGTTGGTCTGTATTTCAATACTACATTGAAAGTTTGAATGTCCCTGTTACAAAGTTTTAACAAATTCTGATAAAAAATTTCTAGATTTTCAAGGTTTCCAATACTGTATAATAGTCTGGATTTTTGAGGTGGCACTGTATTTCAAATTTTATTTATGCAGCCGATGCAATTATTCTAGTAGAATATTGAGATCAACACATGTAGATTAGTTTTGTTGACAAATGTGAAAGACGACTGCTAAAAGTAAGTGATGTTAAAAGTCATTTAAGTAATGATCAATAGGAAAATAAGGATAAATGGACTCTAGAAGTGGGCTCTCTAACTGATAAAAATAGAATTTGTGCTAAAGTTGTAAGTAGACCAAGAAAGGAAAGTGACTGGTGCAATCAAAATTATGGTTAGGAAGAATGTGATACAAAGAGACTGGCTACTGGGCCGCATGATGGAGTGGTAGAACAGTACCTCATGTACAGAGGCAAGACGCTAGTGTAGCATGACCATAAAACTGAGGAATTATGAGCAGTAGGAATGAACAATTTTAGATGAATTTGTGGTGCTAGCAGGGTAGATGAATTTTGAATTTTTTTACCACAGACATGGCCACACATTTACAATATTAACCAACATATACAGTACAGTATATATTTTCTTCTATCCTACATGGACAGGATTAGAGATCAGTTAAACACATAGTTCAGTGATTTATTGAACAATCAACCACAAAAGATGACTGTAGTGCTTTTAAAAGGCTAATCTAACCTACATATATACATAAATACACAGACTTAAGTCTGTCCTACATAAACAGTGTTCGAGATATCTTTTACAGTGTGTCATTAATGTGTGTTTACAAAGTTGAAATGCAAATCTGACCAGTTTACACAGCATTGCATTTCACCTTTGTAAAAATTAAACAGTCATGAAGAAGGATAACCTCCCCCCCCCCCAATCCCATTAACTCCCAGAGTAAACAATCCACAAGAATGAGGAGCATTTACCGAGATGGTTGGGTATGCTGAATGAATGGGTTATAGTCAACTTATGAAAAGAATGTACTCTAATGAATTTGAGAGTAGGAGGGTCAGGAAAATGGTGGGTATATATGGCGAGTGAATATAAGAAGCATAGTGTCAACTCTGTTCAGAACTCGGCAAGGACCAATACCGTGTTGAAGCAATTTGCAAGAATGTGGTAAATATATTTGTATATACTGTACAGTACATGACTAGTACAGTACTGTACTGCTGTAGGGTACTGCTGTAGATGAACAGTTTCCCATTGTTGGGAACAGGATGCTAGTTAGGCTCATCAAGGTTCCACTAGGCCAATGACTGACCTTCCCTAGGATGCATACCTAGGGAAGGTATGTTAATAATTGCTTAACTCCCAGTTACCTGTTTACTGCTAGGTGAACAGAGTCATCAGATGTATGGAAAAATGCCAAAATGTCTCGTCCTGCCAAGAAATCAGATTTTGGACTATTCGGTTGCAAACCAACTCTGCTGACCACTGTTAATTATATAATGAATTTATGGGCGATATTCTCCATTTTTAATATATATAACTTCTCACTATATTACTCTTCTCTTTTCTGAATGTAAGATTTTTCACCCCATGAAGGCAGGAAACAGGAGGTTATGATAATGTACACGAGGTATGATCTCTCCCACAATGTTTACATGGCAAAAATTTTAGAAAAATATGCTTGAAGTTGCTAACACATTAATAACGCTTGCAATATGGATTAGCAGTTGTTGCACACTTAACAACTGCACACTCATCAGTTGGTGACAGCACCTGACAAAGCCAAGTGCTGCCAAATGTACTTACGCACACTGCTAAACACGAGCCAAAATCATGCCGTTATTATCAGAATTATGGCCATTAAATAGTGAATAAGAATAATTGTTCACATTCATTTTCTACAGGAAACTGTAGAAAGGGTTACATGATGTGTAGATGCACCAAACTATGGCTATGGCTTTGTGCTTTAGACTTTGAACATTTGTCACCAGCATTGGGTTCGCTGACATCTGAACCTTGTACATAATCTATCACTATCAGGATCATCAATGACACTATAATCGTTAAATAATTGCAGTTACAGTACTTATTTATTTAATTATTATCAAGTGATGTTGGGGGCACGTGCCACATGAACTAATCATGTTTGCTGTGTTAGTAACAAGGCCCTCACACCCAGAAGGGTTGCCCACAATTTTTTCCAAGATGGTGTCTGTTTACCAAAAGCCCGAGGAAGTGGCTGTGAGCCCCGTGTACCCACAGAAGTTTTAAATCTTATACTAGATCTAAAAGCAATCCTGGTTGACAGGCACACCACTGGATGAATGACCCTGGTTAATATGCACGGTTCAAGGGTTTAAGAAATGCAGCAGGTGCAAAAAAAAATCTGATTGTCCAGAAAGTCATTTTATGTACTACACAACATGATTAGGGCCTATGATGGGAGGCATGGCTCTCACTAAGACATTAAACAAATGAAAATCACTAAAAAATAACACAAAAAGACAAACTTACCAGCAAGCTTAATATTTAGGTCCTTATCTAAGAGTAGGTTTTCTGCTTTAAGATCTCTGTGTACAATCCCACGTTTGTGACAATACCGCAGAGCTGCAACAATTTGCATGAATTTGGTCCGAGCATCTCCCTCGTTCATCTTTCCTTTTGACGCTACAAAGTCTGTGAAAGATAATATAACCAGATACCTACGTTAGATACTATGCAATAACACTGGTATTCTGAAACTTGAATATACATTTCCAATACTGTACTACTACTTTCTACTTACTATATACTTTCTACTACTGTACTACTACTTTCCTCCTCAGCTCTCTCTTGCCTATTTAATGCCTGTCCCTACCTGTCCTCATCACAATCGACTTGAGAATGGTCCAGGACGGACCGAAACGTCGTCGTCCCTTCAATTTCTAGTGTGTGGTCTGGTCAACATTTCCAATACTGTTACCACAGCAACACATTACCTACTGCTGAGGCCTTTCACCATTAGATTCAGGATGATTATTCAAGAACTGTACATAATTCAATCAAGACTTGTGACCAGGACAGCCAAATGTTTAAAAAGATATTGTAGTGTGTCATCACATACATTCTTCAAGATATGGGAACACTGATACTTTACAACCCATTCCACTGTTTAGATAGTAGTTTTTATAACTAATGTGCACCATAGTACACATACTAAGTTTGCCATTCAAAAGCAATTAGGTAGTAGAACTTTGTACTACTTGTATTCACTTTATAGTTGGGAAAAAATTAAGTTAAAAACAAACTTAAATATTCCCAGGCCTAGTATAGCATACATATGTATTATATTAGGCCTAAGATATTGTGTATTAGGCCTAGGAAGGTTAGGTTAGATTAGTTTGTCTTTGCAACATAAGTAGAAAATTATTTTCTGGTTTGTCCAACTCAATAGTGCCGATTTCTACTTTCTAATTTCGCTGTACGTCGGTATATATACTGTGGTCCTCATCGTTACTACAGTATAAGTACATACTACCAAAACAGGCGGGTGGGCTGGATACTAAGATCCATCTAAAATCCTGGTAAGATAACATTATTAGTGGTTGAATAGAGCACAAAGAGTTAACAGTGACATAGACTAGTCTTAATAATAAGTTATTATTTATAAGGAAAGAAATTTATATGACATGGGCATGGATCAGTAATTCCTCTGAGCTTCAGTAGTAGTCAGGGAAAGTCGGAAATTCCAGTGTGGCAGCAGGATGCTGCTTTTGGAAACTTTCTTTATTAAGACTACTCACAGCCCAGTCGATAGAGCTTCAGCCTCACATGCGTGCGGTCCACGGTTCAAGACTCCTAGAGCCCAGGTGAATGGAATATTTATTTCCACAGAAGTGTGGATGACAATTTAAAGAAGACCAAACTGATTGACATTAGAAGTTATCACACTTGCCCCTTACCAGATACTTACCAAATAATTCCCCACAGCTGGCATATTCTGTGACGAGATAAATCATGCGCTCCGTTTCCATCACTTGATATAACCGAATGATGTAAGGATGTCTCAACTTCTTTAGGATCTCTATTTCTCGGAGGATTTTTCTCAAATTATCGGCATCTATTTTGGTTTTGTCAATAATTTTTATGGCAACCTGGAAAATGACAGAAAACATAAGTAAAATGTCATCATTTTCATTCTATTGTAGACAAAAGTTTAAGAATGCAAATGAGAATGGATTGAATAAGAACTATGAAAGTATTAATATACTGTACAAACGGCAATAATCATAGGCAATCAAAAGGAATTTAAATTTTTATAAAAAAAAATTACTCATATTCTTATGCTCTCTAATTCACTTAACATTGAAAAAATAAGAGGCAATGAAAGGAAACAAATAGTTTGTAATTACCTCAACCAATCATAAGAGTTCTGGACAACATTATACAGTACAATGGAACCTCGGTTGACGACTGCCCTAGAGTACAAATTTTTTGGTATACAACGTCAAATTCATCGCAAAATTTGAATTGGTGTACGATGGTTTACTTGGAAGATGATGTCTGTTCGTACGCTTATGGGTCGAACGAACGCATGGTGCTGGCGGCGCGGGGCGAGGCCCTCTTAGTTTGTTTACAAGCTTATCTCGCATAGTGACGACCGTCACCGCACTTGAATTCTTTGTGAAGAATTTCATTGTTTGCCAGTTTTTTTGCTTTTTTAACATAAAAGTTTTTATTATATATCACGCCATGGGTTCCAAGAAAGTTAGTAGTAAAGTTCAACCAAAGAAAATAGTTGTGAGAATGACAATAGAGGAAAAACAAGAGATCGTTCATAATGAGAATGTGATGTCTCACTATAGACAAGTGTTAAAAACGTATGGAAAAACAAGTGTCTATAAACAAATTCTTAGTAAGACAAGCAAGAGCAGTGAGCCACAACCAGGTCCTAGTGAATGTAGCCTGCAGAATGTAAGAGAGAGTACCCAGAAATGTTATCAATGCTGTTATAATAGAAGGGGACTCCCCTTCCAAACACTAAAGAGGTGATATGATCACTACATACAAAATAATAACAGGAATTGATAAAATCGATAGGGAAGATTTCCTGAGACCTGGAACTTTAAGAACAAGAGGTCACAGATATAAACTAGCTAAACACAGATGCCGAAGAAATATAAGAAAATTCACTTTCGCAAACAGAGTGGTAGACGGTTAGAACAAGTTAGGTGAGGTGGTGGTGGAGGCCAAGACCGTCAGTAGTTTCAAAGCGTTATATGACAAAGAGTGCTGGGAAGACGGGACACCACGAGCGTAGCTCTCATCCTGTAACTACACTTAGGTAATTACTAACATCTCTCCTCCTCCCTCCCCCTCCATCTTCCATACGCCAAGAGTCCTCATTCAAGGAAAGATATACATACAGTACTGTATTGTAGCTAGTACAAAATGAGTGTTACTCAATATAAAATGTATTTTTAAGTTAATATTTTTAGGGGTATGGAACAGATTAATTCAATTTACTTTATTTCTTTTGGGAAAATTTGTTTCGGTTGACGACATGTCTCTGGAAACGGATTACGATCATAAACGAAGGTACCCCTGTACTGTTTATGTTTTTGAAAATGAACTTAGATTCTTTAATGGAATTATATGAATCAACACAAGAGCTATAGAAGGTTTGACCAATTTCATGGGAAATGCAGCACTGTACTGTACACCGATCGTTAACTAATTCTAAGCTCGCCAACTTGAATCTCCACTTAACTTTACCAAAATAATGACTGTATTTGACTATCACTTGTTAAAATATCAAGTATTATAGCAGAGTAATGCCTGTTTTACCCCTGCTAAAATAACTGAACTTGTCCCAACCCCATGAGATAGCCATGTGTCTACACAGTAATGTGTATCTGAAGGATTTTCTTTACTATAAATATTTCTTACTACAGTACAAGCTTAGATCATTTTTGTGCTCTACAAGACATATAGGAGCCAGCAGCAATAAACCCAAACATGCGTGGACTAAAGATGAGATTGTTCACAGGATTAATGGAGATGTGGAAGAAGATGAAGAGAAATACCATTATACAAGCATTTATTATTAGATTAATTATGCTTCCAACAGTAAAATTACAGTTGGACATCTTTATCCATATTACAGGCATAGCAATAGAGTTGATCAAGGAGGTACAGTAATGAAAAAATAAGACAGGTCAAAATAGAAAAATTTGGAAGGATTTGAAATAAGTTTATTGATGTAAAATACACACAAAGGGATGAGGTAGCTCAAGCTATTCTCACCCCATTTTTGGAAGGATGTGAATGCCAGGGGCTATAAACCAGCAAACCATCAGCATCTGGCGGTCAAAACTTTATTATGCCAACATAAATTTATACAAATTTATATTACGTTTAGTCTACAAGTCTCATATTTAAAATTGTATGTCTCTTATTGATTTGCCTTCTTTGTCAATATACATATCACCACTCTAATTGCAATCTATTAAACATTTTTATGGCTGTACATCTGTTCTGTCCAGCCACAACTATAATGATTTGTGTGATCAGCTGTTACAATTGCAATAAAATAACTCAATCAAATGAATATGGTACAGTACTACATTTTTGCTTCTGTAGATGAAAAACTAGTTTGGGTTGCATTTTACACAAAACACAATGTTTGTTTTTAAGAATTATTTATAATACAGGCACAGTGGTACCTCCGTTTTCGAATTTAATCCGTTCACAGAGACAGTTTGAAAACCGAAACAAATTTTCCCATAAGAAATAATGTAAATTTAATTAATCCGTTCCATACCCCCAAATATATTAAAAATACATTTTATACATACTGCTACCTATATTTTGTACTACAGTATGTACAAGTACTGTATATCTTACCTTTATTGAGGACTCTTGTTGGGGTATGGAAGACGGCGAGGAAGGAAGGAGAGGAAGAGAGATATTAGTGTTTGGAAAGGACGTCCCCTTCCATTATAACACCAGTGATGACATTTCTGGGGTACTCTCTTAAGTTTTGCAGGCATACCACTAGGACCTGGTTATGGCTCACTGCTTGCTTGTCTTACCAAGAGTCTGTCTATAGACACTTGCTTTTCCCTACGTTTTAACACTTGTCTCTAGTGAGACATCACATTGTCTCACTATAAATGATCTCTTGTTTTTCCTCAATTGTCATCCTCAACTATTTTCTTTGGCTGAACTTTACCACTGACTTTCTTGGAACCCATGGCATGATATATAATAAGAACTTTTATGTTCAGAAACCAAAAATGCACTGAAACAATGAAATTCTTCACAAAAAAATCAAGCGCGGTCGTCACTTGGCAGGAGACACTAGTAAATTGAAGCGCACCATGTGCTCGGTTGGCCCATACGAGTATTAACAAACTCAAACAACAAGGCAAACCACGAGTACCGAGTCTAATTTTTATAAGATATTTAGCTCGAGAACTGAAAAATTTGAAGAGGGGCATTCGAAAACCGAGGTTCCACTGTATTTGTAATGTTATTTTACACACTGAACAATTTTGGCCTAGTATTAAATTACTTGGCCTATATTTTTATTAAATGATTACAACATTTTATTCACCTAAATTATCTAAATCAGTAGTTCCAAACATTTTTGGACTCGTGGCCCTATTTTCTAATACTGTACTAAAAAAATTAGCAAACTTCTGAGTCTTTCATAATTAAACAAAATCAAAGAATGAATTTAGAAACAATCACATGATTAAGAGTTTTACTTGAACACTCCATTAACATTGAAATACAGTAGTACAGTATTTACAAATTTGGAAGAAATTCACAATGAAAATTTATTTTTTAACTTTTGTTTTTTAGAAGAAAATCAATCTTTCTCAAAGTTTGGTGATAATGTGGTGCTTGTAGTTGCATCTGCATAGCCAGCTTCAATATTTATGGTTGTTTGTTTACCTAAGTCAATCATGTCATCCTCAATATGTAGCCTCAACATTTAGCCTTTGATTTAATCTGAAAAAGGGTTGAAAATCGAATCTCTCAGAGATGGATGGAGGCAAATGAAAGAATTCTAAAGGCAAGCATGGAAACATTGGAATATGACTAATGTATAGCATACCAGAATTGAGTTAGCAATTTTTCATGAAAGGTCACATGCTGGGGAATCGTTCCACAAAATCCAAGAACTCTTCCTAGACTTCACCAGGAATACTGGACACATCCAAGGAAGCAGAGAATGGGTCCCATACCAGAGCTGCCTCTTCTCCTGTGAGCAATGTATCTAAGATTTCCAATGGCAGTTTTGCAGTTTGGATACAATTACATACCTGAAATTGGAGTATGTTTCCTTTCCTTGAAGTTTTAGGTTCAGCTTATTCAGCTCGTCTTAGCAATTAATTACTTAGCAATTGTCTGCTAAGTGAGGAACTCATTTCTTCCACGCTTCATCATCAAAGTGAATCAGGTTATGTTTCCTTTGCATTTACAGAAACAACCTGATTTCACCTTTTAACCCAAAAAATACAATTTTGATCTTTCAGCCCAAAGATACTTATATTTACCTGAGGGCCACCATTTCTCTTTTGCCTCAACAAGGACAGGAAACCAGCAGTATATCAGAGGTCCTGATGATTTTATCAGGCTGAATTTTGAAATTCAGCAGTGTATTGGCATTTATGGCTTCAGCAGGTAGGCAGTTCCACTGGTTTATCACCCTATGGATGAAAAAGTATCTCCTGTTTTCTATCCTGCATTGTGGTTTGAGCGTGAAACTTTTGTTCCTTGTTTGTGTTACATCTGATCTTCTGAAGAAGTGGTCTGGATTTAATATCTTTCCAAATTGTTCAGTACTGTATTTTAAAAGTTTTGATGAGATCAGCCATGTCAGTCAGGTTTGCAGTATTGTTAGCCCTGAGGGCCCAAAGTTATTCCTGGTATGAGAGATGACTTGGTTCAGGAAAGATTTTTGTTGCTCGGTATGCATTGCACTTTCTCCATAATAGAGGTCGTTTCTGAAGATGAGATCTCCATACGGATACAATAATCCAAGTGGGGGTAAATCCAAGATTTATACAATTGCATAACATCATTCTTTTCCTCAAAAGTCAAAGTTTTATTTGACTATTTCTAGGATTGGTTTGCCTTATTTTTTACTGCAGTTCCCACTTGTTGTGCAACTTTCAGTGATTGGTGGATTCTGTCTCCAAGGTCGACTGGCAACATTTCTCTTAAACAACCAGTGTACAACAGTATGGAATAGAGGGGCCTCATAGTCAGAGTTCATATCTTTGCTGTAATTAATGTAATTCACAACTTTGATTAGAGAGTCAAGGACTTCCTGTAGAGGGGGCTAGCAGTCTTACTGGCAAAAGCATAATCAGTGGATCATGCAGTCAATGCCCTTGGATTGAGGAGCAAGTTCTTTCACTTTCATCTAAAAGCCTGACTTTAATCCTAATATAGCTGGAGCTCCATCTGCACAAACCTCAGAGTTGTTCCTCCATTACATTCTTGCAGTCTAACAAAAACAAAAGAATTTATTTTATTTTATTTATATACAGTACAGTATACAAGAATTCTTCCATTCTTGTAATGCCACTAGCATGCATAGCATTTCGGGAAGGTCCTTAATCCTATTTTTTCCCCCAGAATACGACCCGCCAAAGCGTTTAACAACCAGGTACCCATTCACTGGTGGGTGAGCAGAGGCTACAGTTATGGATTGGGACCCAGTCAATCCTCCCCAGCCAAGATACGAACCCAGGTCAAAACGCTTGCGAAGCGCCAGGAGAGTGCTTTACCACTGTGTTTGTGGGAATAATAGGAAATGACATTGCAGACGAAGCTACAAAACTTGCAACTAAGAAGAAATGTAGACATTTACATACCACAGAGTCTATCACAGATTAAGAAAGTACTGTAATTAAAAACAGAGCAATGCAAAAGATGTACAAATGTACCACAACACAGCAGTTGCAATATCAGAATCAGCGGGTTGGTACAAGAATTCAACCAACTATGAACCACTTAGTTTGACGAAAGGGAGCAGTAGAACAACAGAAGTACACTTACATCCCATCAGACTTGGATACCCATGTGCATGGGAAATAGGCTTACAGGTTCCGGAAGATGAGAGGAAATGTCAGCACTGTGGAGAAATGCCTGACAGACCACCTGGAACATTATCTAACACAGTGCAGAGTTACAAACCCATTAAGGTTTCAACTTAAATTTAATAAGAGCAGAAGAAGTTAAACACATGGGACAAAATCTTGCTGAAGCGACCATACGAGTCATAAATACTCATACTCTGCCCAAGTAAAACCAGAAACAAGCAACACGTAGTGGGCCAGCCAGAGGCTTAGGGCCCGTGTAGGAATATCCCTGAAAAAAAAACTGTGCTACAGGGACTGCTGGTGCATATCTAGTGAAAATGTGCATATCCTCTCCATAATAGCTTCAGCATTTGTAGTAGTTTCAAGTGAACTAAAAAAATGTGAACAATTCTTTGATGTCATCTGAATGACTATACAGTGCTTCATGAAGACAAGCAGCTGAGAAAACAAGGCGGGAAATAATTTCAGAACACTTAACAATGATCTAGATAGGCTTCAGAAATGGTCGAAAGATTGACAGATTCAGTTTAATGCTGACAAATGTAAGGTACTGAAGGTAATCATAAGATAATGATGATAGAGTTACAAGATATCAGCTGGATGGTATTGAAAATGCAAAGTTTGATTGCAAAAAAGCAATTGAAGTTGAATATATTTAATTATTACCACAGGCAAAGAGATGAATTCAACATAGTGGCTTGTTATCTTCTTGAGGTTATCTTGAGATGATTTCGGGGCTTTTAGTGTCCCTGCGGCCCGGTCCTCGACCAGGCCTCCACCCCCAGGAAGCAGCCCGTGACAGCTGACTAACACCCAGGTACCTATTTTACTGCTAGGTAACAGGGGCATAGGGTGAAAGAAACTCTGCCCATTGTTTCTCGCCGGCGCCTGGGATCGAACCTGGGACCACAGGATCGCAAGTCCCGCGTGCTGTCCGCTCGGCCGACCGGCTCCCCTTTACAAGTATGTGGTTTGTTTACAAGTACTTGTGGCTTTACAAGTACTGTATGTAAAACTTCAAGTGTCTACTCTCATAAACCCAATGTACCTTCTTGTAGATAACTAAATAAATAAGTAACTAAATAAATAAATAAATTCCAAAATATCTTCACTAATGGTACTGTACTAAAATGTTCTAGTTTAAGAACATCAATTTATTACTTATTTTCAGCTTAAATTTTAGTCGTTTAATCTTTACATCTTTACAATGTTAAACTTCATTAACCATAATTACAAAGCCAGATATTTTCAGTTAAACACTTATAAGCAATTCACAACAGAATCACTTGAAATTTGATATTAGTTCAGCTATAAACCTGTTTATTATACTGTACTTTCCTTTAGCTAGTTGTGTGTTTTAACTTTCAAGATTAATACAGTAATAATAATAATAATAATTCACTGTGTTGGGGAACCAAGCAGCCAGAGTGTATTCATACACACTAAGCTTATATCCAGGTAATTCCTCCCCCCTCCCCCAGGTCGAATTACTGACCCCACCCAGTATGCAACCCCATAACAAGCTGACTAACTCCTGAGTACCTACTTACTGCTAGGTGAACAGGTGCATTAGGTGATAGGAAATGTTCTCAACCATTTCTGTCCTGCCCGGGATTAGAACCTGGAATTCTCAACTGTGAGTTGAGAACGAACCCAACTGTACTACCAGGAACCCCTAACAAATGACCTCTCAAATTTCCTCAATTAATTTTAGATTTCTTAAATGACAGGTGTGTACAAGTAGAGAGCAGGTTATACAAGAGAAAAAGCAGCCATAAACTAGACATGGAACTAAAGATATGGAATCAAAGCAGCACTGTATTGCTTTATAAACACTAATGTAACATTGTTTCTCAAGACATTCTGTACCCTATACTTGAGACATTTACCCACAAGGTGGAGGCCCTGCCCGAGATAGTTGTGTCAATTTCGGAGCCACGAAAGCAGAGAAACCATGTTTTCCCCCATCATTTCCTCGCCAAAGAAAAAACTACCACTTTGTAGCCATACATCGCCTGTCAGCAAAAAAAATCTTTGCCCTGCAGCAGCTAAGCACATTATTTGGCAGATGCTTTTGCAATCCCTGGCAACACCTGGCGTGGCAAGCACCAGGCTCCCATCCACACAGCAGCTGCTTTAACTGGAAAACTTTTATCGACGCTCAGCGACTCTAGATGACACGGACATTGGGTTGGGCACCCTTTGAACTTGGGCAGTCAGTCACAATTCCTTGCATAACGGCAGAATTGCAAAAGGCTTTGATGTCTTATGTCAAAAACTCACACATGGCCATGTAATGTTGAATTAATTAACATCTTTCACTGGCCCCAAGTGGGGCAAGAGCAAAACATTTATCTAGTGACCAAAACAAAAAATAAACAAAAAAAAAATAAAGGGGGGGAGAGAACTGGATTTATATGCCAGTGTATGGCAAGAGGAAGGAACGAGGTTGAAGGGCAAGCGAGGGGCAAGAGCAAGGAGTGACAGCATGAATGAGAGGCGAGGGTGAAGAGTAAGGAAGGAGAGCGAGCAGTTTACCTATAATTCTGAGTGCGATTGGTGACAGTTTATCTGTATATTTATCTGAAGCCTGTTTAGGGAGATCTACTCCCCAAGCCCGACCAGGTGTCAGGCTTGTCATGTGATAACTGATCTGTAAAGCTCACATATCTGTCACAACCAGGATCATCTGTCACTGCCTGAAAGAACCTATCCAAATGCTTCTTAAAAAACGCTTCCATTCACACAATATTTTTTATATTTGATTGGGACGAGGTTGAAACCCCATTGGCTCCTATTGTGAGGAGTGAGTTTGCAGGGTGAGAATGGGGAAGAGTGAGGGAGGTGTAAGGGGCGCGAGGAATAAAGAGGGGTGTGTGAAGGGTGATAAAGGAGAGTGAGAGGTGAGTAAGGAGAGCGAGAGAGATGAATGGGAGAGTGAGGGTGAGGATGAGGGGGTGTGTGGTGGGCAGGTGGCTGTCACCCCCAACACAACACGTTATGTGTGCTAGGCCCTTCACCCCCCCTCACTCTACCCTCTTCCTCTCCCCCTCATACCCTCATGTGGTGCAGTTTTCCCTCGGTGTCGTGCCCCATAGAGCTCCCAGGCCATAAAATCTGGCCAGATAAGATCTTTTCAAGAGGAGACCAAAGATAAACAAACAGTGTGGCGGCACTTGCTTACCTTGGACTGGGTTACTTTGTGTGTCGCAAGCTTCACCACGGCGAAATTACCCTTCCCAATTGTCTTTTCAAATTCATAATAGCCTACACGCACTAGTCTTTCCGCGTTACACGATACAGTCTGCTCCGATGAGCCCTCCATAGTTGCCATTTTGGTTTTGACTGGTGGCTATTTTTTGGTCGCGCTAACTTTCTTCTTCTAAAACCTACGCACAGTCACCCATGCAGTTCTGTAGGATTAGCACACATTTTCCATTGAGTAAAGACACGTACAATAACGAGGAACGGCGCGCTATATCCATACTTTCAGTTTAGACCATCACTGACATTTAACTTTGGTGTATGCGCATTATCAATTATTTACGCACCGTTCATACACTTTCTTACAAAATGTAACCGCAGTGCTGCCTTACAATAATTTCCCCAATGACATCACCTAAAAATTTCTTACATCCACAGCACAACTTTGATACAACTTATGGAAAAAAATCGGAGGGATATTATTGGAACATATCGTCTGCATTTTTGAAGGACATCCTCGGTTCTACGTCGTCTGCTACCTGATGGATTCCCGCGGAAATTCAAATTAATAACCTTCATCAACTCTACTTTCTCATATTTTGTACGTGATAATGAATACACAGAATATAGATGTACTCTAAATTAAAGCTCTGTGAGGCGCAATGAATTCTTGTTAACGAGATGATCCCTCTCACCCCTGAAAGTTTGCTTGCTTCTAAAGGTCACTCATGTTACGGTACACATCTGAATGAAAGTTTTGTGGTGGGCCCAGAAGCAGGTGATGTCAGCCGGGTAATGGTGGGCACGTGGTGTTAACCTGGTAACCCGCAGGTCAGCCAGTGGGGCAGGACCTCCCATTGCTGGCCTCCCGACCGCCGGTACCCGCAGAGTAACGACCCTGACCTTGATAACGGCCTGCTACCCGAGGGGAGGGGAGGGGATCCAGGTGCAAGGGGAGACGAGCCAGGGACGAGAGGGATGAAGCAAGCAAGGGGCGAGGGGAGGAGAGTCATTGACGATAGGAGGGGAATCAGGGACGTGGGAGTGAAGTAATTAAGGAACAATGTTTGGGAGGAGGAACGCAGTCAGGGAAGAGGAGAGGTGATCAATGCCACAGAATAAAGAACTAAAATGATTGTATTTCACGGTAAATTATGATTTCCCGTTACCTGGGACAGAATATTTGGTATGTTTGTCGAGGTTCCCTTAGCCTTCACCAGGATGCAACCCACATCATCAGTTGCCTAACTCCTAGGCACCTATTTACTACTAGGAGAACAGAGACTTCCATTAAGTGTAAGGTAACGTTCCCGAAAATCTCACGAGACGAGACGTTTAAAAACGTAAATATATCATAATGTACACATTGAGAGAGCAGTGAGGAATGAGGGTGAGGGTTGTGAAATGCCGTGCATGGCAGCTTTGTATCAAGAATGCACAACCATCAGCCCCTATACTGTATATTCACGGAAGAAATGTTGATTTGCCTTGCATTCATGTATTCTATCTAATCGAGGTGTTGCGGAGGCAGCTATAGGCCAAAGTTAAGCGCGTTTCACTGTAAATGGTGCCGTGCTTAACTGGGACTCCTGCACTCGACACTTGTACTGTATAATGTGAGTGCAACCTGTCTATGTTAATTGAGTTGATTGTATTTATAATGCAGCCGAAACTAATGGTGTGGGTTGTGGTGGATGGTTACAATGGCCCCATACTCATGGTGTGAGCTGTGGTGGATGGTTACAGTGGTCCCATACTCATGGTGCGGGCTGTGGTGGATGGTTACAGTGGTCCCATACTCATGGTGTGAGCTGTGGTGGATGGTTACAGTGGCCCCATACTCATGGTGTGAGCTGTGGTGGATGGTTACAGTGGCCCCATACTCATGGTGCGGGCTGTGGTGGATGGTTACAGTGGCCCCATACTCATGGTGCGGGCTGTGGTGGATGGTTACAGTGGTCCCATACTCATGGTGTGGGCTGTGGTGGATGGTTACAGTGGTCCCATACTCATGGTGCGGGCTGTGGTGGATGGTTACAGTGGTCCCATACTCATGGTGTGAGCTGTGATGGATGGTTACAGTGGTCCCATACTCATGGTGTGGGTTGTGGTGGATGGTTACAGTGGCCCCATACTCATGGTGCGGGCTGTGGTGGATGGTTACAGTGGTCCCATACTCATGGTGTGGGCTGTGGTGGATGGTTACAGTGGTCCCATACTCATGGTGTGAGCTGTGGTGGATGGTTACAGTGGCCCCATACCCATGTTTTTTAAATTTTACATTTTCCCTCGAGGGGCGAGTTTATTGGTCAGCGTCAGTCATCCTGTAAGTGAGCATATCGCCATAACAGCATGTACACTATCCCTCAGTAGACAGCAGGATGCTGGGTTGTTCATCCTGTCACTTGTACCTAGACACAGCTGGGACTTGCTTACCTGTCTCAAGTGAATAGCATATCAAACAAAAACTTTAACATTTGCCAACTCCTAAAATTTACGTTATATTGCGGGTGCAAAATGGAGGAATCTTTTAAGAACAGTATCTATATTTGACAAATAGTGTTTTCCTAACTCAATGTGGGGTTTATTATTCTACACATATTTCTAATGTTTCTTAGATGTTCACATTCTCTCAGGTAGTGGTCAAAGCAGTGTTCGTCACTCTCGCCACAGATTCTACAGCTCCGCTGCTCAGCTGGTATTTCCTTCCAGCATCTCCATATTTGTATCCAAGACGAATTTTTTGCTATTACTGATTCCCTCCCGCGGCCACCGTCTCTTCGTCCATAATGATTGGGATTGCCAGCTGCAACTATATTGTACCAGCGTACAGAGCCAATGATATGTCCTATCCTCATTTCCTTAGTTACCTTGTCACGGTGATGTTGCCTGATAAAGACTCTTCTACAAATTAGAGGTATTGGCTATGAAGTAATCAATATGGTCACGTTTTTTTTACTAAGGCTTCGTAACCCTGTTTTTTAATCGGTGCAGATCACTGCACCGTTAGTGTTTCTATCAAGGAATCTTAACGCCATAGCAATGATAGTTAGCTCTGTTTCAGATGGAGAAAGGGACGGAGAAAATAAAGGCGAGCCTAGGGAAAGTAAATCATGCAGTGGAAAAACTGAAACCTTGTGAGGACAAGGTTCAGGACAATATGGTCACCTCTGAGGTTGGTAATCAAATTTTGGAGTATCTAAATAAACTAGATAAGAGGATTGAGGCATTGGAAAAATTGGCTATGGAAGGTAGACGGGGTGAAGATGGTGGTGAAACAGGACGTGAAATGGAAAGTGAAACAGGACGTGAAATGGAATGTGAAACAGGACGTGAAATGGAAAGTGAAACAGGACGTGAAATGGAAAGTGAAACGTGCGTTGAAGAAAGTAAGGAAGAACATGACGTATTGATGATAGAGGATAGTCAGGAAAATTAACTTTCTAGTAGTGTTAGCGGTGTTCAACCTTCTGTAGTGACAAATGTTGAAACAAAGGTTAAAGTAAAACGGTATAGAGAAATAAAAAAGAAAATAGATATGATATCTGTACTAACTGAATTGTGCGCCCCTTGAGGGACTTGAAATAGAGGGGGGGGGTTAGAAAGAGCCTAAGCTACTCTACCCCTTTGAGATGTATCTTTTTTCTTGTCTTAATAAACATACTTGAACTTGAATAAGGAGTGTAAATTATGTAGTGTGCCGCACGCCCACACCTTAGAACATTATGTATTAAAGTGTCAACTTATAACTATAGAAATAAGTAGTGTACCACATCAAATTGTTTGGATGTGTGATAATGATATAATAGTATACCTAGGAGCTACAAGAATTTTGCCCCAAGAGTGTAACACTTATATGCTGTGCTTACTATATTAACCAGCAATGTTAAATGGGATTCTTGTATTGTGATTTGTGTATTTGTACTCACTGAATTTGTGCGCCCCTTGAGGGACTTGAAGTAGAGGGGGGTAAAAATAGCCTAAGCTACTCTATCCCTTTGAGATGTATTTTTTCTTGTCTCAATAAATATACTTGAACTTGAACTTGTACGATTGCGAGTTACATGAAAGTAACTAAGCTATAAATAATTGTAATTAATAATTGTAAATATTAATTACTACTAAATAATATTATTTAATAAATTAGTCCCAATTCAATGCAGAGTTTTCTTCCAAGCACAGAAACTTGTAAATATAAATACAAGATAATAGATAGATCGATAAATATATAGACAACTTTCAAATATTGCACCAAGTAATGGCGAGAGGAAAAAACTAGACAGTATACATTACATTTGAAATTAATAATGGATGAATGGTAATAAATTGGTGTATGTTTGTATGTATACCAGACAAAGTCCATTTAATTAATGGCAGAATTTAGCCATTTTGTGTAAAAACTTTTATATCTCATATTATTAAGTACAACAGTAATCGAAAAAAATCATAGTTTGTATATACAAGAGATGAAACAGAGCCATGAGCTAGATCGATGTGCTGAGTCCATAAGGAGGCTGAGCTTCCAGAAATACTTTCCTGTGATTGGCTGTTGCGGGGAATACCAACGCTCTTTTATGAATAAAATTTAAACCAAGAAATAGGTCCATGTGCACAACAACAAGGTTGTTGTGAAAAAAAAAACAATTTCTGTTTTGCACCTGACAGAAATCTCAATCTAACTGAATAATTTACTCGAATAAGAGGGCAGAGCAGTGTATCATTATTTGTGTCAAGGCAACCCCCAATAATAACGTCTCAAGTTAGGTAGCCAGCCCATTATTATATAACATCTGTTATATCCTGCAATATTTAATTATCACTTTATTGACACTTTAAATAATTAACACTTCACTTTTTGGGTAAATTAAAGTTAAAGCAGAATTCCATAAGTAGGACTGGTGGGCTGAACTAAGATGATTTACTAAGTGGATGGCACCTATAGCTGATCCCTTCCTGTGATTGGCTGTTGTGTGAATATCAACAAAGAGTTTCAACCAATGATATGCCATTGATTATGCACCCCATACATCTTGTGGGCGGAGCTTGGAACCTCCTACCCGAGCACAACAACCCGCCTTATGGTTTGCTGTTTGGCTATTTATAGTGCGTTGGAAAAAAACGAGATGGCGTTAGTTGTATTTTGCAGGGTAATTTGTTATAAGTGTAATTTGATGTCAACAGATGGCGTAAGCTGTATCTTATGGCCACTGTTGACCAGCCAGTTGATAGTGTTCTCTTCTGCCGACAGATGGCATCAGCTGTGTTATTATTACTTCCGAATTCCCTTTAAACACTGATCTACAAATTCCTTTGGCTTATGATAAGGTTTTATACCATTTATGATAATTATTAGATAACTGGAGTTCCGCAATTACTTTTATTTATCAACTGTTCAGGATATCATCATATAACGTCTGGTTAGGACGTACTGCTCTAGATTGATGAAGATTAAGCTACCC